TCCACCCCTCCGATTTCCCCCGCTTCATTCTTCCCCTCCCGCTACCTTCTTCTTCTTCTTTTTCTTTTCTTAACATATATTGCATTATTTGTTTCAGAATTGACCCTACTGTTTAAGTACTCTCATGTCCTCCCATCTAATCTAGATCATCCCCCTAGACTGTTGAGCTGTACAGATCATATATTTCAGTAGGACAGAGAGACAGGACTCAGCCTGTTTACCGTGATTCCCAGGACTCACACAGAGCCTGTCCTTTGGTAAGGGCTTAAGAAATCTTGAGTTGAAACTACACTGAGTAACTATTTTAATAGTTATATAGGCTTATTTATTTCTTTTCCTCTTTCTTACTCAGATTAGAATATCCAGTTTTTTGGGTCCCTTTCCTCCTACACTGCTAGAAATACAGTGTATTTAAAGTGTGAATAGTACCCATTCTAAAAACTGAACAGATTTATACACCCTACACCCCCAAAACATAGGGACCAAGTCTCTCAAAATTTTAACATAGGAAATCAATACAGAAATAATGGGAACAGCACATAGTATAACCTAAATTATCAGATAATTGTTATCTTGCTTTAGGAATTTCTAAGTAAAATAACAACAATCCTGCAAGACATTAGTAGTAGATGATTTCTTTTTATTGTAATCATGCTTTATTGCCATATTATACTCACCTTCTGTAGCAAACTGCTCTAAATGTTTTAGGGTAATTTCTTTGTATTTTGACGTCTCTGCCAGTCTATCATATATTACAGTGTCCTGGAAAACAAACAGAGGTAAATACACTTAAGCATTTTGAGTTTAATAACACTGATGTTGGCAACATTATGAGCAGCAAATTAGTATAAAAACAACCACTTTGAGCATTAGCTTTAAAGCACAAAATATTTTTTCTCTAATGACACTTTCCCTAATGACGCTAAGAAACAAGGTTTGAGTCCCATATGTTCATCTTTCTCCTTTGTGAATAAACCTGGACTTACTCCAGTGTTATGCATCTCATATTCTACCAGCACTTCGCTTATCTTGCAAGATCTCCCCCACCCCTGAAGGTTTTTTTTGCAGGACACTGCAGGGAATAGGCACCCTATGAAGACATAGGTGCCATAGGGGAGAATGGTCCAGCACTCAAAAAGTTTGGGAAATGCTGGCTGAACAAAGCCTGCCTTGCGGTAATACTTCTTGGAGCCTTTAAAATGCTAATGTGCCCAGTAGATCTCTAAGAGGGCCATATGGTATGTGCTCCAAACTCATTCACTATGGAGCCCGAGCTATAGATTAGGGCATCTGTATGGGACTGGTGCTCCCACAGAACAAACTTTGAGAAACACAGGTCCAAATGCACAGAGAGGGCTGGTGGGTATTACAGGGAGAATTTCGAAGAAAAGCCTAGCATTGCCGGTAGCCGAATATTTCTGATTGTTCACTTTAGCCTCTAAAAGCTCAATTCACTTAGTTTGTGAAATTCAATTACTGGATTATCTTTAAAGTCCCTTTCAGCCTGAACGTATGTACCACTGACTTTTCTCTGATTTTTGCCCCTTTAGAAACTGCTTATTGTTCCTTTAGTTTATTCCTCGGCTTGGGTTTAATGTTTTAAGAATTTTAGTGTTTGGCCTCCATGGTTTTATTAGACTAGGAAAAAATAAATCATTTACCTGCAATTACTTTCTCAGTGGTATTACCCATTTTGGGGTCTCCAGTCTCAGGGCTGAGATTTGGAAGCAGACTAATGGAGTATGATTTAGAACCCTTGAGAGAAACAAGAACTTAGTGACCTCAGAACAGATGGAATATTCCAGGCCCCAATTATGAATTTCTTTTCATTTTTCAGTGGTGGAATGGGAAGGGGGGCAAAGCAAAAGGAAATGATAATTTCCCCTCTTGGCTCCTTTCTAGGAATGAAAGGTATAACTCATGAACTCTGTTTTTTTCCAGAGGCTAATGACATTTTCAATGAAATTAAAATAGGCCATTTTAAAACTAAGAAAATCTCTAAAAAAAATTAACATCATGAAAACAAAAGTGATAAGGGAGATTAAATTCTGCCATGTAGCCAAGTTTTCTAGTGGAAGAAACTGATGCTTGAAATAGAATTTTCTACTTTCTTTATAGTATCAAGGAAAGCAGGGGACAGAATGTGGCCTTCTACATGAATTAGACAGTATGTTTTTAAGTGACAGTCAATTGGCCAGGCTTACATGTGAGAAATAAATACATACAAATAACCTCTTCACCCAAAGTAACGGCTTCACATGGTTATGACCAAAAAAGGTTTCTTCACAGGAACTAAAGCATGTGTATCCCCTAAGATCAGACTTAGAGCCTACTGAGTCTACATTTGCAGGAAATCCTAACTGAATTTACTCATGTGGTGTCCCAGCCCTCAGCAAGGTGAGAGTGGAAAATTGGGCATGAGGGGATGCTCCCCAGGTGGCGCATAGTCAATAAAGAGCCTAGGGCTTCACGATGAATAATTCATCTTAGGTCAATTTTCACTTGAAAAGTCATTTTCCTATTCATCTTTTAGACTCAGTTTCCAATGCTGCTCCGTCCTCACCTACTGTGTCTTGCACGTGGCAGTTGTTCAAAAAATACGTATTACATGAATAAAAACCTGATGTAGTCCTCAGTCAGCCTGAGGACAATATTGTCAAATAAAGAAGGACTATACAGTGAAATGCAAGAGTCAATAGTAAGAAGGTAACAAATAGAAAAAAAGAGGTCTGACATAATTACTTATTTAAGCACTGCAATTTATACTGAAGTTATCTAGGTAATCTTGCTACAAATTAGGCAGTTGCCAGGAGGACTCTGATTTTGCTGTCAGGTTACCCAACAGGGGGAGACTGACCTGCCGCATGAAGCTTTGGCCCCTGTGATCTGGAACATTTGCTAAAATCATCAGACACATCTATATGTAAATGTAGAAGAATATTTTCTGTGTTTGTGCGTTCCATTCGGATTTATCTGTACTCTGCTTATGATGTGGTGGTGAACTGCTAAACATAACTGATTTCAGATGTGGTCTTCTCGATGTGTGGCACAGAATTTTATGTAGGGGGCACTTAATTAGAAATTTTCAGTCACTTTAAGGTCCCTAAAGCACTGAGTGTAATAGTCAAGTTTCTAATTTTTCCTCTAGTATATAAGTATTGGGGGAGGGTTTTTATTTTCTTGAATAAATTAAGATTTTATTTGTGTAAATGTAACTTCTTAAATCGGCTACTATTGCAGATATAAACTGTGTATTGTATACTTTTCCTTTTTTTCATTTAAAAATTAGCAAGGCAACCTCACTGCAGAAAACCTGGAAAAAGGAGAAAAACAAATCATCCATATACACTCACACCACAGAGCCACCATCTCTCTGTGTTATGTTCTAGATGAACTCTTCCATACCATCTTCTAATTCACTAACTGCACCCCTGACTCTTCCACTCTGTTTAATTTAGAGTTTATTCCATTTTCTGATGTTTTCTCTTAAATCTATGATTTCCAATTTAGCTTACACATATCCCCACCCTCTCCATTTCTTTTTGATTAAAAATAGTAATTTTTTTTTTTTAATCATGTTGAACTAAGCATCCTTGCTCAGGCTTGTCTACACAAATGATTTCACCTGGAGTGAATTCATGTCCGGTTGTTTATGTGCTTGTACTCTTTGGAATGAGATTTCCTCATGTGTCTCTTAGTTTTGCTCTCTCTGCTTGTGCATACCCCAATCTAGTGGTTTTATATACTCCCCCCAGCAGAGTTGGCATGAGTTTTTCTTAGTCTCTTCTCAGGATTAGGAAGCTCACCACCATCTCAGGCATCAAAGAGGGGAGGCTGGCTCCTATCCACATTTTACAGAAAGCACTATTTGCCCCCACCGTCTTACAGAAACCAAATTCTAACCACCGCTCCCTGATCCTGATCCCGGGCCTGGGACTCCTACCCCATTCAACTCAAGACCTCAGTTCAGTGTACCACGCTGATTTTCTATTCCTGTTTGGGGCTTCAAAGATATTTATCTTGTTTTTAAGCCTGGCTCTACCTTTCTGCTCTCTCTTTATACTGTAACCATCACTGTCATAGATTTGGAATAGAGGAGAAACATTAAAGTTTGAGCAGACTGTGTTAACTTGACTGGAAAGTATTAGCTGACTCCTTAACTGACTCTTAACTACTTAAGTCTTCTGTTGCACATGTCACTGTTGATTATTCACTCTACCAGGGAATCAACACTCCTCAGACTCTCTTCCCAATTCTGATCTCTCTTTTTAGATCCTCTACTCCTCACCCTTAGCCCTCCTCTCTTTTCATGTAATATTTCCTTCTTACAAGATCTCATCAATCCCCTGCTTTTACCTTCCAGCTACACTTTGTACCAGCATCCCAGGTTCCTTCCCCTGTGAAATCCAAGCATCTCTGCCTCTTGGCCCAGATGTAGCTCCCAACCCTCTATCACGGGAAGTGGTACCACTTCATCTACTCAGCCAAGTCCAAATTGGATAATAATCCTAGACCATGGTTTCCCTTATCACCCACATGTAATCAATTACTAAATCCTAAATCTCTGTCTTCTCAATCCTCTCTGCAACTGTCCTCGTTCAGATCCTCTTATCAACTCTTGGACTATAGTCAATAGCATCAATGGGAACTCCGTATGCATCTCCTTTCTGCCTTAAGTCATCTTCCCAAATGGCATCAGAACAATTCAGAAAAAAGTACAAGTTCTTGAGCATGAAAAAAACCCCATGACCTAAAGCATGTCCACCTTTCCAGCCTTGAATCTACTATTCTCTGCCAAACTACATGCAGTTCTCAAATGTACCTGGTTTTACATGTTTCTGCCTTTTTAGTATTCAACCACATTTCATAGCCAACTTGGTAGCGAGGGGAAACAATACAATAAGCAAGTTAATGTATGCAAACTACCTCCATGATTATTCAAAAAGGAAGTCCAATGTTTTTATTTTTTATTCAATGCTTTAACTCCCCAAACAAAGGTTCTAGATGGAAGATTACTCAAAACTAAGAAAAGAAGGATGTGAGTTGGGTGCAAACTGGACACATAACCATTTAAAGTAGAAGGTCTTAAAAGCTCTCTTTATTCCATTATCAATGAATGCTACCACTGGAATGTGGAAGAGCTTTACAATATACCTCAATATTGTATCCTAAACTTCTCTTTATATATATTTCCCTGACTCAGCTTAGTTCCTGACAAGTGTTGGGTCTTATCTTCCTTTCTCCAAAATCCAGTTGAGAGTCTGGTAGATAAAGTGCACACAATGAATAAATACTAGTTGTTTCAATTAACAACCAGAGGAATTCTAAAACTAAATTTATGAGACATCATGAAATAATTCTACCAAAATGCTTTAAAACCAAGGCATTCAAAAACTGCATTTCAATGCTTTAAAACCAAGGCACTGAAAAACATTTTCAACAAAAATTTAAGTAATAAGTTTGGTTTCCTCATAAGTGCAGTTTCTAAGTTTCATTTAATAAATGAAGGTTGATGATTGTATTTAAATTTGGAAAGTTCCAGGCTGGTAAGTTACCTGACTAGTCCAAGTAGACTAGGTACCTGGAAAGGCTAATTCAGAAGGAAAATAATAATTGTTGGAACAAAAGTCTCCTTTTTTTTTCTATGAGTAGACTGGTCAGTAGACTCCTTATTTTTCCATGAGTGTAAACATATTTTATCTAGGAAAAATCACTTTGAATGACATATTACTCTTTCTGTCAATATAACCTGCCAATATACCAAATAGTCAGAAATTCTTTTATAATGAAAACAATGCAAGACAAATAGTAATGACCATATCATGAAATTATAGCAGTAATTGTGATCCATCCCCGCACCCCCCCCCCATTTCTATAGTCTTTAAAAAATTACATTCAAACTGGTGTGGATCACTACATTTCTAATTTCAAAGCATTTTCTGATTTAATTGTCTTCTAATGTATTTTATAATATAAGCCTCAAATATTAAGTATCAAAATTGAATTCTATAAATAAACTAGGCCAAATTTTTTCAAAGCACCAAATTTACCCAGAAGGAATTCCACATTTCACCAGAAGAGGCTGAACGCTATTACTATAAAACACCAAGGAAAGTGGATGTCAGCAGCTTTATGCTAAACATCTGTGTTACATTTCCATAGCAGAATGCTGAATGTATACATTATAAATCATCATAAATCAAAACTGTAAAAGACAAAAATAAAAACTTACAGCTCCTTTGCAGTAAAGTCGTAACTTCCCGGACGGAGTCCGAACAATCACTGACATTCTTTTTCTCGCGCTGAAAGAGGTTTTCCATAATGTGTCATCATACTGAGCATATGCATATATATGTTTGTCATGCCTCACATATTTTAATACTCACAGTGAAAAATAAATTTTACCAAATTATGAGCCCTATCCTTCCACAGATACAAACCATCCCCTGGGTGTGTGGTCTGGGTACCTTCGAGAGTTACATTCTGTTTTGTAAGGCACCAGGGTACCATCCACTGCCCTAAAGGAATAATTTACAAAATGAATCCTGGGAAACCTGCAGGAGTTAGGAGCCACCTGGGCAGAGGAGAGTTCTGGTTCAATGTTTTCAGATTTCAAAAATCTTTAAGTCAGTATCTAATAAGATGAATTGTATGTTATAGCTTTTAATGCAAACAGAAATAATAATCCATCGTTAAATACATACCCAAATCACACAGAAAGGCAAACACTAGCCCTTTAAAACTGACTTCAGCTTTCACAAACTGTTACTTCTCAATGATTTCTAGCAAGCCACAGGCAGCATGTAAAAAATCTATTCGCATTACCAAGCTAAGCTAATGAGCACAAACATTTTAACCTTGTGTTGGTGATATAAAAATGTTAGTTAAATATACAGCATCTGCAGAGACAGCAAGTAACAGTGAGTAGAACAAACTGGCACAGCCCTGCATAGGACGTGCCTCATTCGGAACCAAGTATGTATCAGCACTCTCTCCAGAAATGAGGGGGGGAAGGGACTTCTCTCAAGCGTCTGTATCTATTTGTTTTACCTTGCAACATTCTGCTAAAAACGAAAATGAGTCCAATATAAAGTAGCCAAGATATGGTGTCCTAGCATACAGTTAGGAGTTTCTTTCCAAGGCATCTAGAAATATTCAGTCCTCTGTGTCTCCATCTCTAATCTCCACTGTGTGGGTTCCTCCGACGGCCATCCCTGCACTTCGGGAAGACATTTACCTGGGCCCTCTTCACAAGGACATTGCACATTCTATATTCTGTCTCAGCCCTTCTTGGTGCCTCTCTTACTCCAACTTTAATGAGATGGTCCCAAGCTCACCAACTTTCCTGCTCTTTTCTTCTCCTGGCAGAATGCCCAAATCCTGGGTAAATGGGAACCCTTTCTTTAGCATCAGAGTAGATGGATGGACTGGAGGAAAGTCGCCCTGCCACAGAGCTTAGGAAATCCATGATATGCTGTCACTTGCATGCTCCCTGCCGTCCTCTTTCTAATAAGCTCGCTCTCTCACCATCTGCAGGACTTGGAACACCTTCTCCATTCTCCAAGTCTTTAATTCACCCTCATCCTCCGGACCCTTGGAATTTTTGCAATTCACCTTATGGAAGCCTCAGACAAGAATTCTTATCCTTTCTGCCATTAACACCTACACATTCACACAATTCTCTGCTGGTCACCATCCTCTCTGCCTCTTTTCCTGACAACGGAGGGGGTGTTTCTTTTCCTCTCAGAGACCTTCCTTTCCCGTGTGCTGTGAACCCCCTCTCTTTCTCAGTAACTTCACTCCTAAAGTTATGCTGCTCTCCCCTGAGTCTGCATTGTCCCCTTCTCGACAGGGTCTCTCTCATAAGTACTTAAACACGTTGGAGTCTCTCGCCTACAAAACTCAGCCCAAACAATCCACTCCCACCGAGCCTCATCCCCCTCACGACTCAACTCCAAACAACTGCTGCAGACACCGACAATCTCTACTTACATCCCCTGTGTGCGCCCCCCACCCCCAGTGCATCCCCATCATTCCCACCTGGCTTCTCTCCTGACCCTCCCACTGAACGGCTAAATCCAGCAAATATGGTCCACCTTCAGCTCACCTAACCTTGCTGTGGGTCTCTGACACAGATGACCACTGTCACCTCAAAAAAAAGCCTCTTCTCTTGGCTCTGTGGTCTTATCCTCTCTTTATCCTCCACATCTCTAGCTACAAAGCAGTCTCTTTTGCTTCTTGTCCTTCTAATCAACCCTTAGAAGTTGGAGTTAGTCATAGTGCAATCCTCAGTCTTTCTTGTTTCCCTCACTCTATATTTCCAGGAGATCCAATTCATCTTTGTAGCTTTGATGACCATTTACAGGCCAATGACTACCACATTTATATCTCAGCCATAGGCTTCTCTTTTGTGTTCCAGGCCCTCACATCCAGTGCCTACCTCTGACACCTCCATGTGTGTATCTCACGGGCATCTCAAACATAACAAATTCAAACATCTCATCCTGCACATCTATTCCTATCTCTGTATGTGCCATCTGGGTAAATGGTACCCCTACCCACCCAGCTGTTCACACCAGAGACTCCAACCCCTCCCTCTTTTCTTCTAACTCCAATCCATCCCAAAGGCCCCCTGACATTCTTCCAAAAGGTATCTGGATTCTATCAACTTCACTTTCTTTGTGCTAGCATCATCCTAGTCCAAACCACTAATGTTTTTTCCAGAATCTCTTTTAAGACCTCCATAGTCACTCTTCTCACTTTCATCCTTACGCCCACCCCCAACACTGCATCCTGAAAGACCCTAAACCCCTAACCTTGCTTTATTTTTCTTTGTGGTGCTTCAAGGGTGTGTGTTAATAAACAAACATACCCAAATGCTAATTGATATATTACTTATAATATTTTGCAGGTATAAAGCAAGTAGACTTAGGAAAAACAGCCACTTCGACATAAAAAAAAAGGTGGGGGATACATTTTGGAAATACTCTATTACAGTTACTCATCAACTTCTCATGCATTTTCCCTTGAGCCTTTCAGTGCATACAAGTAAGGAAAATAGTGTTTAAATAATACATTAGACAGACCCCACTATTTCTGATATTAACCAATGGCATGTGGTCACTCCCAACCAAGATAGCAACCAAAGCTGGCACTGAAAAGGAAATGCCTTTTCTTTTTTTTTTTTTCCAGTAAGTTATGTGTTTTTATTATTTTTTTAGTTTTTATGTAAATTCTAGTTAGTTAACATACAGTGTAATATTAGTTTCAGGTGTACAATTTAGTGATTCAGCACTTCCATGCATCACCCAGTGCTCATCACAAGTGCCCTCCTTAATCCCCATCGCCTACTTAACCCATGCCCCCATCCACCTCCCCTCTGGTAACCATCAGTTTGTTCTTTATAGTTAAGAGTCTTTTTCTTGGTTTGCCTCTCTCTTTTCCCTATGATTGTTTGCTTTGCTTCTTAAATTCCACACATGAGTGAAATCCTATGGTATTTGTCTTTCTCTGACAGACTTATTTCACTTAGCATAATACTCTAGCTCTATCTATGTCATTGCAAATGGCAATATCTCATTCTTTTTGATGGCTGAGTAATATTCCATTGTGCATATATACCACATCTTTATCCATTCATCAGCTGAGGGACATTTGGGCTCTTTCCATAATCTGCCTATTGTTGATGATGCTATAAACATCAGGGTGCATGTGTCCCTTTGAATCCATATTTTTGTATCTCCTGGGTAAATACCTAGTAGTGCAGTTGCTGGATCATAGAGTAGTTCTATTTTTAACTTTTTGAGGAACCTTCATACTGCAGGAAATGCCTTTTCTAGTCAGTGTACAAGATTGTCTTATGTAGGAGAAACTTCAAGAAGATAAGTGAACACTTATTTCCTTGAACAGCAGTGTTACTTCCTGCCTGTGGCCTGGCCCTAAGTGTCCTATTGTTAATGGTGATGCAATCTTTTTTTTTTTTTTTTAAAGATTTTATTTGTTTATTTGACAGAGAGATACACAGCGAGAGAGGGAACACAAGTAGGGGGAGTGGGAGAGGGAGAACAAGGCTTCCTGCTGAGCAGGGGGCCCGATGCGGGGCTCGATCCCAGGACCCTGGGATCATGACCTGAGCCGAAGGCAGTCGCTTAACCAACTGAGCCACCCAGGCGCCCGATGGTGATGCAATCTTTAAAGACTATCCTGTCTGTTAATGGAGGCCTATTTGCCTTAAGAGCGTATTAGTTCAAAACAATGAATCATGGAACACTTCATCTAAAACTAATGATGTAATGTATGGGGATTAACATAAGAATAATAAAAAAAAAAAAGAGCGTATTAGTTCAGAAACAACGTAGTCATGCAAAAATAAAAAGCCAAACTCCTAGACATATCGCTGATTATTCCTAGAAGGTCTCTACTATTTGACCTTAATAAAGTTAAGTAGGATAACCTCCTTGATTTCTGCTTTTTCCTACTAAATCGTAACTGGTTTTATACCGAACAGAGAGATGGATATGGTTTCTGAAATCCCAAAGATAGTTAGATACAATGAACACAGAATTAGACTGCTGGGTTCCTAACTCTTTATTCGACTTCAGTACACATAAATCCTGCTGCCTCTAAGTGTAACGATGTTTCCAGATCACCAGCCCTAAGACTCCTGGTCCTATACCTCACAGTTGTGACCCATACCAGCTTTGTTCAAAAATAATTTTACACTGCCTCCAGGAGTCATGTCTGGCAATACTCTGAAGATAGGTGTTTATGATTTCTCAGCAGCTATGACAATTACAAGCTATACTACAGATTTTAAATTAATATTTTTTCTAAACAAATTTAGTTAAAAAATAAAGCCTACTTTCTAGTTATTTAAAAGGGAAAAAAACCAAACATATGTAGAAATTTATCTTACAGATACAAATCACAGAGCAGATGTCTTACCTGGTGAATTCCAGAACATTGAGTAATTCATATCTTTCTTCTTGCCCCAGCTATGAAGGAAAGGAATACATGATTATACCATGTTGGAAGTATCTTTGGCTTCTTGGAAATAAACCCTATGCATGAAGTTTTAATGTAAAAAATAACAAAAACAAAGCATCCCTTCTGAATATACCCTCTTTAAGTGAATTTATTAACTTTCAGGTTAAGAGGGAAGATGGAACATACACATTTAATTTCTGTCTTTCCCAAAGTCTCACTAAAACTATAGTAAACACTTTAAAAAGAAAGAAGCTTACAATGGCAGGGAAATAAGAAAAGAGACAATAGCACCAGAAATTTGGAAGCTAGAACACAGATGAGTGAGTGGGATCTTAGCAGATCCAAGAAGGCTGAATGCTATAGTGGTCATGGGAAAAGCTGAGAACCCACCTGATTTGTACCATATGATCCTTAAGTGGTTTAAGGATGTGAAAAAGCAGTTGGCTCTAGAATTGTGAGGTAAAAAAGGGGCCTAAAATGGGGAGAACTGGGTAAGAGCCACTTGAAAAGAGCTCTCAGCACTGGCCCTTCCTTTGGTCTAGAAGAATCTTTTGTCTAGAATTGACTGGCACAGTTGAAGACATGGTATTGTTATCATATTCATATTAAATATATTAAACGCTGGGCCCCAATATCCTAACCAACTTAGCCAGACCTTTCCAGGCAGAAATGGGGAGTTACTCTCTGGGGAATTCAACAAGCTCAAGAGAAGCCTTAGAGGTACAAACGCCATGACTTCCCAAACGAATCCCCCCAGACCACCCTACAGTAGAGCTCAGTGTAGACAAATATTCCCCTCAGGCTCTGAACCACCACATCTGCTTTCAAGTTCCTTCTTCTTAACCACGAGAGTACCAATGATTGACAGACATCCAAGGACACTAACATGGAACAGAGATATCCAAAACCAACAGACAGAAGCAATTTGGAGGAAAAAGAATTCAAAAACAAAATTTCCCATGGACCAATGAAGTTTCAGTTTGGGTTTCCTGACGGGCACGAGGGGCTGGTGGGCGGGTCCTGGATGCCTCCGCAATTAGTTTCAACACCAGACTGAAGTGGTCTGTCACATGCGTCATATGTCGTGTTTTCTTTTCTACATTGGAACTGATTACTGTGGCTTCCTGGTGGCATAAAGCTTTTCTGCAGTGTTTTACACCCTTGGAAATATTGCCGCATAAGCCAGGATATGCTTTTTAAGGGGACCTATGAAAAAAATGTGTGAAACAATAAGACTGTTTATAATAATTCTTATGTTTTTATGATTACTACTTATACCCTGGTTGCTGCTCTTTGGTAGTTTGGGAGGAGACTGGCCTTATTATTCTGCATATTGCAATTTGTGTCAAAAATCTGGTAGAGTCTATCACACACCCCATATGCAAGGGCTACAGTAATTAAATGCTGCTCTTTTCTCCTAAGTGGAAAATGAGAAACTTTGGAGAAGAACATCTGAGAGCTGATATTTAACTTTTGGTGAAGCATGCTTTTCCCAAAACTATAATCACTGCAAAACAACTGCAGTGATATTTTGAGACAATTTTATATTCTGGTAAAAACTATAGTTTAACTAAAGGCTTGTAAATGCTTTTTAATTAAGTGCTTTGTTAAACGCCTGTAAAATTTTTTAAATGAAAATTTCAAAAAACGATCATTATTTCTCTCAGAGAATATGACATTCATGAAACAAGAACAGGATACTATTAAAAAGAAATACTGAAAGAACAAAACAAACTTCTCAAAACCAAAAACATGGGAGCAGAAATTAGAAACAAAAAACATGAATAGAAAGTTAAGAAGATAAAGCTGATGTAAACTTCCAAAAAGCAGAGCAAAAAGTCAAAGGCATGAAAAGCATTAGTGAAAAGCTAACGGTTAGTTCAAGAATTCTGAAGAGAGAGAACAGGGCAAAAAGAGGGAAGGAAAATGGAATTATTTAAGAAAAAATTTCCAGAACTGAATTTTCCAAATGGAAAAGGGCCCACCAGTGCTCAGTACAGTGGGTTAAAAATATTCCCACTAAGGCACACTGCCATGAAATATCCAAACTCTTGGGAGAAAGATCCTAGAACCTTCCAGAGTGTGGGAGAGTGGGTAGGGGCAAGGCACAAAAGATGTGGAATCAAAATAGCTTCTGATTTCTCAATGAGGTGTCCTGGAAACCAGAAAATAGTGGAAAAATTAAAATTATTAAGGAAAATAATTTCTATCCCTTAATTCTATATTCATCTGGACTATCAATTAAGTATAACAGTAGCATGGAAAACGTTTAGACTTGAAAGGACTACAAAATAAGTTACTCCCCATGTATCTTTTCCCAAAAAGCCACTAAAAAATGTATTCCACAGAAGTAAAAGAGTAAACCAAGAACATTCTTGTCATGGGATTTAGGAATTGAAGATCTAACACAGGATAGAAGTAAAGAAAGTTCTCAGGAAGATGATAAAGCAATTCCAGGATGACAACCATGAACAAAATGGTGACCCATCAACCAGTGCATCTCAGAGCCCAAGAGTCAGGAGCTGGACTTAATGAGGGCTATCACTACTGTGTCTTCTTCTTCCGGAATGACTGTTTAACCTGAAGAAACAAACATGAAATGTGTTCTGTCAAAACAGGGAAGGTCACTAGGAAAGAAGATTTGAGACACAGCAAATAGTCCCAAACAGAAGAAAATCAAAAGGGATTCCCAGTGTTGTAGAAACAGGCCTTAGAACAAAGACGGCATAGACCGAAAAGAATGGTGAACTTCTAGAGCCATGGATGGGCATGTCTCAAGGTAAGAACTGCCAACTGACAGATTACCTGGTGTGACTTAGAGTGTACTAAGAAGATACGGGAACAATCACTAATAGGTAGAAAGAAAATGAAGCAATTGAAAAAAAAAACAAAACAAGGTAAGGGACTTATCTTTAGGAAATAAAGGAAAAATTATCTTCAGGAAATAATTTATATTAGGAAACATAAAATTAAAGAAAGGAAAAAATCCTGAATACAACAATGTTCAACTGTGTATACTTGTGCAGGCAAAATAGCAAACACTAAATCATGGGGCGCCTGGGTGGCTCAGTTGGTTGGGCGACTGCCTTCGGCTCAGGTCATGATCCTGGAGTCCCGGGATCGAGTCCTGCATCGGGCTCCCTGCTCAGCAAGGAGTCTGCTTCTCCCTCTGACCCTCCTTTCTCTCATGCTCTCTGTCTCTCATTCTCTCTCTCTCAAATAAATAAAATCTTAAAAAAAAAAATTAAAAACAAAACAAAACAAAACAAAAAACACTAAATCATGATTTTTTTTAGTGAAATGCAACTTATATACAAAAAGGACACAGACACTAAATGCACAGTTTGGTGGAAACTGTGTCGTTTACAAAACTGTGTAACCACCACCTTCATCGAGATGTAGAACATTCCCATCACCCCATAAATTCCTTTTGCTCTCCTCTAATCCATCTGCTCCCTAACCCTGGGACAACCACTGTTCTGAATTCTACTCCCATAATCACTTTTGTCTGCTCTCCAGAGGATGCACTCCTTTGTGTCTAGCTTTTTCTGCTCAACATAATGTTTTTGAGATTTATCCATGTTGTTGATGAATCCATAATTCCTTCCTCTTTATTGTTTCGATAGTACACTGTAAGTGTGTATCACAATTTGCTTACCCCTTCTCTTGCTGATGGATGTTTGGTTTGTTGCCAGGGTTTGACTACTCTAAATAAAGCTGCTGTGAACATTCCATGAGGTATCTGTTTGTGGACACAAGCTTTCACTTCTCCTGGGTAACTGAGTACAATTGCTGGGTCAGGTGCATGTTTACCTGTGTTAGAAAACTCTAAAAGGCTTTCCAAAGGGCTCATGCCATTTTACACATCAACTAACAACACATGGGTCCTCCACTAGTTCTATATTCTCATTAACATTTGGTGCTGCAATGTTTTTAATTTTAGTCTTTTTGGTGGGTATATAGCATCTCATTGTGATTTTAATTTGCATTTCACTGATGACTAATGATTTTTTTTTTTCATGTGCTCAGTGGCCATTCATATATCTTCTTTTTTGAAATATTTGTTCAAGTCTTTTGCATATTTTAAAAATTAGGTCTGAATACTTGTTTCACTAAAAGCTGTAATGTAATTACAATAATATACAGTCACATAGTAATATATATTCCAGGAAGGGATAGTGAATCAAGAGAGAGAAATCCTCATTTAACATAACAGAAGACAAAGTCAGTAGATATGTTCAAATGGAAGAATCAAAACAGATATCATTCATCACATATGTTTTTGAAAATAGGACATTTATAAATGCCTGAAGAAAGAGATAAAGTGGCTTCTTCTGGGGTAGGGAACCTCTATTTTATTATGATCCTTTGATATTATTTTATCTTTGAAGTTATGCACATGTTATTACTTTGATGAAAAAGAGACTTAAAACTAAATAACTTACTGAATCTATAATCACTGAGTCCGGTGTTCTTCCAGTAAAAACAAAATTCAGTTGCTTAGCTGCTCTGACCAACGCTCCCTCATCTGTTTTAGGAAAAAAGGTGAAAGCAAATACATGGTGAGATAAAATAATTATCCCTAGTACAACAGAAATACATTACTGTGTTTTTCTATTGAATTTTAAAAGAATTAAAATTCTGTTTATTCTGGTCCCTGATGAAATCCATTTCTTTTGAAATCATATGACAATGCCAAAGGAACGAGTAGACTCATCTTAAGGTTCTGAGACTCGTAGGGAACCAGGAATCATATTTGACTGTTAGTCAACACACCTAAGAAAGGAATTTAAATGTACCCTTGGTCCAGAATGTTCTATAAAAAAGTTTCTCAAAATAAATGCACAAGATTGTCTTATGTTTTATGCTTTTCCTCCTAAACCACTGAATGTAGAAAAATACGAATTGAGGATTCAATTTAAATGGATATAAATGCATGAAACTGTACACTTGGAACTAATGTAACACGTGTGTGTCAACTCTACTCAAATTAAAAAAAGAGAAACTTGGACAAAGGAAAAAAAAGAAAAAAAAAAGAAATGGATATAACTGAACTGATGTTTATTTTATTATATATTACTTTCATCACCATATTATATCAAACTTTCTAGTTGCTGAGGGTAGGGTGTGGGATAAGAAACATTCGCATAGTGTCCATCCTAACAATATGAGATGTAACATTTCTTCTGCTTTTTAGGAATTTGGTACATTCTGCAAGATCACAGGTGCAAGAAACAGTTAAAACACTTAAAAGCAAAGTTTTTTAAAGTATGTTCCTGCCCCTCTTTCCCAAAATCTCGCAATCATCAAATTGCCCAATTTTACAGTGAAAATAGGTTTAAAATTAAGCCTAGGCATTAAATATTGATAACCATGCCAATACATATTTTACGGCATCCCTTTCAAATGGTGAACTTTCTTCATCCACATAAATACACAACAAGCTCCTTGATTATCATTTCCAGAAGAGGAAAGCAAAATGGTTATTTTCAAAGAAGGGAGGAGACCCTCTAATGGGTATTAAAAAGTACTTTTTGTGTGACTTTTTAAATTCAAATTTACATGCAATTTATGACATATGCTAAAAATTATGTAGATAAGGTTATATATTTTAACATATATACTTAATTCCGTTTTTTTCTAATCAGTAAATACATTTCTTCTAATTAGTAAATACATTTTTATTATCTAAAAAAACATAACTTGGTTATTTTACTTTTTCAAATTAAACTGATTTTTTTCTAGACAACCTCAAATTTCAGAACAATTTTCCACTGGAAAAATACATTATAATTCCTTCCTTTGTACCTGGAGATGCTGCTTGATAAATAATCTTATCGCCTTCTCGCTCTGGTACTGCTGTGTGACAAATGGCCATCATTGTAAGAAATTCACATATTATAGGTGCAGTTGGCTGTAAGAAATAAACACATAATTCAACCCTTTTCATTTAAACATTTTGACACTAATGACAGCAACATTACTTCATGTCTATTAAGACTATAGCTGTTAAGCATTGAAGGTGTGAGGTTATAGACAACAAAGAAGCCAGTATCTGTTATGAAGAAAATATATTTTTAACTAAAATCATTCTTACACTGTTTCATTCATTTTCCAAACATTTACACAAAACAACTTGGTGTGTCAAATGAAAAGAGCACAGTGTAAAAAAGTAGATCAAATCCTGTTCTCAGAAGATAGGAGAGAAATTCTAAAATGATCATTTATCTGGATCTAATTCCTGATTAGATTTAAACTTTTGGCATCTGATCTTACTGGGGTTCCACCATCTTGTATTGGGGTGATGATGGCAGGGGATTCCTCTGTAATGCTTTGTCCTTCCTCTCTCCACAAATGACAACCTTAACCTGATACATGTTTTACTAAATAGAAAGAATTGGTTGAGCTATTGCTGTGTACAATGCAATGGATTCTTACAGCCTGAGGAAGACATAAAAGTGGATCCTTTCTGCAAGGAACTTTGAGTTTATATGAGAAAACAAGCCAGATCTTTTTTTTTTTTTTCTTTTTAAGAACTCATGACCCTGAGATCAAGACCTGAGTTGAGATCAAGAGTCAGATACCCAACAGACTGAGCCACCCAGGTGCCCCAGAAGCCAGATCTTTTAAATTAAACATCTTGCTGTTTGGTTCCTGATGGAGGTAAATATTAAATAAAAAATATTCTTCTATGCTCTTAGGCTAAAACAAACAAACAAACAAACCAACCGAAAAACAAATGGAGTGATTGGAAAGATAAATCACAGCATTATTTGAAAAATCTCTTTTCAGGTTAGTACAGTAGACAAAACAGACATGGTCCCCGCTGTGTGAAGCATAACTTGTGGGGAAGACAGAACACAGATAAAGACACAAATATTTACTTATGGTGTGAAAGGACTATAAAGGAGAGAATGTGCAAACATCATGTAATGTATTTGGGCCACTCTGTGGTTATTCTCAAGAGAATGTGAGATTTAAGCTGAGGTTTTAGCCTCATGAAGAACTGAGCCAAGAGCTTTGCATCAAGCAGGAATCAGGTAAGACTGAAAAGATCCTACAGAAGGAAAGAATGAGGTGTGTTTGAGAAAATAAAAGCCAGTATGGCCTGAGGAGAAAGAAAGGAAGAGTGGCTCAAGTGAGGTTGGTGACTTGGGCAGGGGCCTGACCATGTAACTCTGTAAGGTAAGAGGGAAGCCAGAGAAAGGTTTCATTTTTTTTTTTATTTTTTAAAGATTTTACTTATTTATTTGAGAGACAGCACGAAAGTGGGGAGGGGCAGAGGGAGGAGAAGCAGGCTCTCTGCTGAGCAGGGAGCCAGACTCGGGGCTCAATCTCACGACCCTGGGATCATGACCCAAGCCGAAGGCAGATGCTCAACCAACTGAGCCACCCAGGCGCCCCCAGAGAAAGGTTTTAAACAGGTAAGTGAGGGGATTTGATGTCCATGTCCATCATTCCTGTTACCATGTGCAACAAGAACTGGAGGGGAACAAAGATGGATACAGGGAAACTGGCAAGGGCCCGCTAGCAGTCTGGACTAGGGAGGGAAAGTGAGCATGAAGTAAAGAAGACATTTAGGATATATTCCAGAAGTCACTATTGACAAGGGCTTGGCCATTCTAGAGAGCTAGAGATGGACCCTAAAGGAGGTATCCAAAGCAGCTCTTAAGTTCCTAGAAAGAGAATTAAAATAGGTGATGGAGCAATTTGAACCTGAGAATGCAGAGGGAAGAGGTGGTCTAGGTCTTGTGGATCCTGAACCTCATATTCTATAGAAGGCTGTCTTAAGAAGAAAGGATACAAAAAATACCTGTAAGAACACCTTGCTAGAACTCCACCCAGGGACACAGGTTAGTAAGTTACCTGTGCTCAAGGAGCTTTTATTGAGGTAATGAGTTCGAATTTAAGTTTTGACATATTGAGCTTGAAGTGATGATGAGATAAGGTTCTGGGGTTAAAACTCTAGGAAGCCATACCATTTGATCTGACGGAATTTTAGTAAGTGTCAGTAACTTCATAAGTACAATGGTCACATTGGATGGAAATTTCCGGAGTTTTTTTTGTATAGATTGGGCACTGGTGTACCATTTTGAGCACGTAATTCATTTCCACAGATAGTCTGAAATGGTGAATAGTGAGCTGTTCTATACAAACAGAATTCTATTAATTATTTAATATAAGATACTTTGAAAAGACAGAATATTGATTAACAAGAATTTCAAAACTAAATTCCTAACAGCCATGAATTTGTGTGGGCCAAGTAAAAAGGATTTAACAATAACAGATTTTGGTAAGTATCAAAAATGATCACGAAACTAAAAAAATATATATAAACATGGAAGATAACTGAGAGTTACTCATTAGCTTTCACTCATTAACAAAAAGATAATAGTTTTATGTTGCTTACATGATTATTTTGGAGGTTTTCCAGCAATGACGAATCACTAAATGTTTTTTCGTCTCCGAACTGTGAGCTCTGCCTGAAGGGGAAAATGGAGCAAACCTGGTTCATTTATATAAGCCACTGATCTATTTGTAACTTACTTTTTAAGTAAATCATTATGCTTGCAAACCTTTAATACATTAAATATAATTTAGTCTGCATTTCTAGATAAGATGCCATAGATTTCATAACTGAACCATACATTATTTTTAAGCATTCTAAAATGTGATAGACTTCCGCAGTGTAATAAAAAAATAGTACTTTACAGCTCATTTTTCTGGAGTGGTGGAATTACATTGTAGCCACATGAAGCTTAAAAAGATTTTTAAAAAAGTAACAACACTGCTAAAATACCTAGAGGTGAATTTCTATTTCCATAATTTTTTTCAAGTTTTTAGAATTTGAGAATAAAGTAATTATAAAAAAAAATTCTTTTACTTTAGGCTATGAGAAATCTTTATTTGTAGTGACTAACATTACATAATTATATGGAATATAAAAATATGAGCAATAAGCCTTATATATATTTTATCAATATCTATCAATAAGAAATATCTGATATATTTATGTATACATCACATTTGTTCTACACATATAAGAACAAATCATAAAAATGTATAGGATTTTTTGTGTTGGGGCTATCTTCAGATGAGCAAACACTTATGTACGTCATATGAAATAAATGGAGTCAGAATTGCTTCTATAATCTAGCTATGACGAATCCCATGGTCATGCAATTTAATACCAAAATGTTGAGATTAAAAGGAAGAACATAGAACACGTAAGTGGGAATGTCAAACCCAAAGGGTGTACTTTGCAATGTTCAGTGAAAATATATACATCTAAGCTTTTGTGCATAGAAGAAAATTCTAGAATTAATTCACCAAGGAAAAATAATGTGTCCAATACTAAATAGCTGTAGCCCAGAAAGCTTTTGATCATAATTTTTACAGTTAGAGTATTATCAATGCCAAAGTGCCAAATATCAAGAGTTTCATATTTTTAAAGCCAGCAGTTTGAAAGGAAGGAGAAATCACTGAAGAAAAAAAGAATCTGAAATAATTAAACATACACAGTATCAATGAAATATAACCAAAGAAGGAAGTTAGACCATTTATAATAAGATACATCTTTATTTACATGTAGTAGTTTGATCTATTAATTGAGGACTGTAAAACAGTACATCTTCATTAGCATGCAGTAGTTTTGAATTCTCAAAACATCCCTAGGAGGCAGAATAAACACGTTATTACTCTTCCTCTAGTTTTAAAAATGGAGGGAAAAATCCAAGATCTTTTAAATGACTTATCAATGGGAACTCAAAAAATTCGCATACATTTCTCCTCCAAATACTATCATTTCTTAAAAACAGTTTATTACTGGGGCTCCATAAAGTCTCCCTATTATTAAAATGTATTCATTAATGGTTCTTAGTTATACATTCCCTCTTATTTGTTAGATAAATTGAAATGTCAAGGAATAATCACAGTAACATCTTGCATGTGGAGGTCTATTTTCTTTCCAAAGAATTCCAGACTAAAAGCCTTCACAAATCTGAAGATATGTCTAATTAATCTCACCAGAAACCCTTTTATCTCATAAATCACAGTTACCATAATAGATATAACTTTCAAATGTATTTATAACAAATAACACTAGATATGCAACTGAAATCTTTACATGGACACAATCCACCCTCCATTTACCAATGAAGCTTCTACCATGAATAATGTTAAATAAGGACTCTTCACTCAGAAAGTGACTTCTTTTCCAAGATCATAAAAACCATAAGCAACTCATCTGCTAATCCACATAGCCTGGGTTGGATAACTCAGGCATGGAGCTTTCACCACTCCTCTCTAAAATCTTACAAAATGTTCACTTTTAGTAAATGTAAACAGATAAAATTAGGATGCTCGTGTCATTTCAAAATAAGAACCAACTGGATTAAAAGTAAAAGTGATCATTTAAAATCCGTTGACAAAATTATGAATTTGCAAACTGCGCAATAAGCTTTATATATATTTTATGCAAATGCAAGCCAACACCAACATTTTGTTAGATTTTTCCATAGAAATTTTCAAGAGGCACTATGCACACAAAGAGACAAAAGAAATGATGGTGTTTTGCAAGAAGGGATAAGATAGGGAGGGTAACATTAAGGGTAAGGAGAACAAGGAGCAGGTAGTCCACAATACCATATAAATGGCAGCTTCTTGCTGGGTAATTTAAAAACTATGATACAGTGTAAATAATTATTTCCTGACTATACAAAAAAATGAAGAATCCCCATGACATTAAAAATTAACAGAAAATTCAGAATGTATATGGTTTAATCAGTATTACCTATTTTCATACATGACAGTATGGGGACCTTGAAATTTTTTTAAATTCAAAATTCATGTCAACCAAGGAATCATTAGAAAAAAAGAAAAAACAGTTGGATCCATACTTTTCACCTTAAACCAAATAAACTCCAGATGGATGTACAATTTAATAAAAATTAAGATATGGGAAAATTTAAAAAATAAGAGTGGAAAAAGCCTATGTATCACACATAATCCAGAAAACAAAACAAACAGATAAATCTGACTGTATACAGCTAAAACATTTCTGCATAGCAAAAACTACTGCAAGCAAAATCAAAAGCCAAACAAAAACTGGGAAAAACTTTCCAATTCATATAATGAAGGTTAGTTTCCCTAAGACAGAAAGAACTCATAGAAAGCAATATGAAAAAGATCAACAATGCAGCCCAACTACGAGATGAGGAAATATGAGTGCCTTTAAATACAAACTTCAGTTTACCCAATAATGAGAGAAATGACTGCATCAATTTAGCAGAAATAAATTTGACAATTCTGTGCTGTTGTGATTATGAAAAAGATAAATCATACCATTGCTGAGTATGAAAATTGGCAAAACTTCTAAGAAGAACAACTAGGCAATTTCTACCAAAATTTAAAATGCATGTATCCCTTTGATCCAGTAATTCCAGTTCTAGGAATTTATACTAGCTATCTACCTGGTGCAAAATGTTGTATGCACAAATTCATTCTTTGCAGCACATTTTTAAAAAGATTTATTTATTTGCGAGAGAGTGAGAACACGCATGCGTCCGTGAGTGGAGGGAGGGGGCGAGGGAAGAGAATCTTGAGGCAGACTCCCTGCCAAGCACGGAGCCCAATGCGGGGCTTGATCTCAGGAGCCATGAGATCATGATCGAAGCCAAAACCAAGAGTCAGATGCTCAACTAACCGAGCCACCCAGGTGCCCCTGCAGCACATTTTTTTTTTTTTAAATAGCAAAAGATTAGAAACAACTCAAGTACTATGAAGGATGTTGCTTTAAAACATTGTGGTACATCCACATAGCAAATGCTATACAAAAAACAGGAAGCTCTTCTGATCTTGGGCTGATCTCAAAGACGCACAGTGAAAAGAAAAGCTGGTACAAAACAGGGCGTATAGTATGGTTCACTTTCTGTAAATATAGGAGAGAAAACAAACACATGCATGTATATGTGTAGAACAGATCTGGAAGGATACATCTGAAATTGTTTACACTGCCTGCCTCTGGGAGGGGAGAGGAGTTCTCCAAGACAGGGAAGGGAGAAAAACCTTCCCCTCTTTACACCCTTGGAATTTGCAACATGCTAATGCATTATGAACTTAAATCAAATTTAAATTAAAAATTAAAGACAAGAAACAAAATCCATGTCAGCCACCTGTAATAGATGCACAGCCTACACATAAAATAGATGTATACATTATGCACACACACATACTACACCCATGTTCACACTGGAAGGTAAAACTTAGTGGGGCTGTAAAGCACCATATTTTGAAAGGATCTGCACTTCCTGCTTTCAAATGATGCTACTGGTTGCAAATCAAAATCCCTTAGAGGAAGATTTGATTTTTAGGAATGACTTTGTTATTCAGAGTCATGTCAAGTCCAAGAATATAAACAAGTGATCGAATTCAATAATATTTTTGTTAGACATCAGTTTTAACCAAAGTCCTAAGACCTGCTTTTCTGTGTGGCTCAAAGTATTTCTGAAGGCAATTACAAAAGAGGTGTTCCAAAAACATTCTGTGAAATGGCTGCATCATTGAAATAAATAAATTAGCTGTCAACGTGACTACTTTGAAGACTAACATTAATTTGGATGCGTTAGATCTCATTATTATACAGTCACACCTGGAAGGATGTTTTCATGAGTCTAGCTGTTATAGCAGAAAAAATAAATACCACTCATTCCATACATAATTATAGACCAGGATGAAATGAGAAAATAAATAAGACCAGAAAATAGTACTATCCACTGATACTATGATAATACTAAAAACCACAGTGAAATGACTAAGCACGGAACACATTAAGGAAATCCTTTTTGGAGAATCATCATCACTAGCATTAACTTCAAAAAATATATCAGAACAGTATGGACTTTATATTAAATAGTTAAGAAAAACAAATATGTTATCTGGGATTGGCTTCAAAATAATGGTGAGGGAGAGGTATAGATGACATTGGATTTGGGTGCGTATTATGGAAGTAAGTGAAAGGGTAATCTGTCTACTTTTGTTTATGCTTGAAATTTCCCACAGTAAGCATTAGTAAGCAAAAGAAAAAAATGGCTATGGAAATATATAGCTGAAAACAATCACATCTTTTTATTTTATTTTATTTTTTTATTATTTTTTAAAGATTTTCTTTTATTTATTTGTCAGAGGGACAGAGGGAGAGGGAAATAGAGAGAGAGAGGGAGAGCAAGCGCACAAGCAGGAGGAGCGGCAGGGCAGAGGGAGAAGAAGCAGGCTCCCCGCCGAGCAGGGAGCCTGATGCGGGACTCGATCCCAGGACTCTGGGATCATGACCTGAGCAGAAGGCAGACGCTTAACCGACTGAGCCACCCAGGCGCCCCTGAAAACAATCACATCTTAAGGGCTACACAGATGCTGAGAATAAGCAGATCTTTTTTCCAATGGTAGATTTTTAATAGGAAAGAATGAATCTGTAAGGTTATATGTTAGCTTATGGGTAGTTGGCAATAACAAGAAAACCATATCAATTTTGGAGTAAGTAGCTACTGGTTGGGGAATGATCTTATCTCTGTAAACTATTTTATACTAATATATTTAAGCGAGTAAAGCTACAGCCATCATCCAATTATCTTTAATGTCAAGAGGGTATGTTTGAAAATACTCTCAAGAGAGTATCACAAGTTTGCCTTCAAATTCCACTAAATATAAAATAATCTGTACACATTTAAGTGTTAAATATTATATGTTTTTTAATCTTGACATTTTTGTGGTGAATATGGTTCGGTAGGGCAGTAAAATGTATATAGGCTACAGGTTTTATGTATGGAATTTAATGAACTTCACACTGAAATGTGAAGCTGCTGACAGACAGGCATGAACTTTGATTTTGGATTTATACAGTCATCTATACTCTCTAATTTATCCCTGAAGACCAGCACCATGAAGATGTGGTCATATGCCTACAGCATAGGATTCAACCAGTATCTCACTTTTTTTTTTCCTTCTTCTTCTTTTTTTCTTTTCAGGATCACACTTTTGATCTTGGTTTCCTTGGCAAAATGAAATCAACTGGATGAGGGGTTCGGGGAGATGCCAGATGTATGAATGTGCAAAATTTTGCTCCCTGTGCTAATTTTTCTCAAGTCAGTTAAACTGTACCTGCTCTTGCTACCTTAAGAAAAAAAAAAATGACTGAAATGGTAAAGGTATTTTGTGCTCTAAAAGCATATAAAGTTCTTTAAGATCTGTAGGACATAAAGTGACCAGCACCTACTTTATAATCTGGCTTTCATGTTTCCTGGTTGAGTACTTTGGGACAAGTTACTTATTAGCTTCTTTGCCTAAATTTCACCAATTTTAATATGGTCATGTCAATCACAACTCTTCAAATATATCACGAGGATTGAGTGAGAGACACCAAAGCTAACACTCTCTGTGAGTATACTATGTCTAGACACTATTCTAAGCACTTTAAAAATGGAACTCACTCGGGGCACCTGGGTGGCACAGTTGGTTGAGCATGGGACTCTTGGTTTCAGCTCAGGTCATGATCTCGGGGTTGTCAGGATTGCCCCGAGTTGGGCTCTGTGCTCAGCATGGAGCCTGCTTGAGAGTCTCTCTCCCTCTCCCTCTGCCTGCCCCGCCCCCTTGCTCACATGCACACACACTCTCTCAAATAAATAAATCTTAAAAAAATAATAAAAATAAAAACAGAACTCAATCTTCACAACCTCCCTATGATGTCCACATTCTACCAGAGGAAGACAGGCAGGCAGAGAGATTAGGTAACTTTTTCAAGGTCACAAGTAGGATCAGGATGTGAACTTGGGTGGCCAGAATCCAAAGTCTGCATCTTTGACCATGGCAGATGGCCAGGACAGAACAGAAGCTCAAGTAGTATTTTCCAAAAGGGTGTTTTACAAAGAGATCTTAACTAGATAATATAATATCCTCTCTTTCCAAAGGTGGTAGAAGTCACAAAACAATCTCTATAGAAAGTAGGATATTTTAAATGACCCGAGTAAATAAACAACGATTTTTTACATTTTCATTCACTCTTAATGAAAATATGCTAAAGGTAATTTCCTTCTCTTAAGAATAAGAGTTCTCTTAGAAAAATCATGTATTAATTCTATACTAATGAACAGTATTTACAATTAATAGAATTATATTAATGTTACAGAAAAAAATAGTCACAAAATTTTACTACATTCTTGAAGGATTAAATAAAAGGGAATAGCTACTGCATTAAACTTGAATTATCCACCAGCAGTAAGAAGCTTTGGAATATTTTTAAAAATGCTAAAAATCATTCAGTTGTGTGTAGGTGTCGAAGCTGGATGATGCTCCAAGCAATGAGCTTAAATGTGATGACTCATCAGTTACCACACGAATCAAACAGCTGCCTCTGTCATTATTATAGGTGTGAGTTTTGCTGCAAATTGTTATCAAATCTCCACTTTATTGAAATAAAATTCAAGTTGAAAAATATTAAATGATGTTATTGGACTTCCATGCATATTGGAAATGTGGCCAAATCATAAAACAAATGTATAACCTGAAAATAAAAATATAACCACTTTTAAAGCCATAATGTGTTCTATAGTTACCAGCATTAAAAGAATCTGTTTTCTGAAGTTTCATTGGCCACCAAATCATGATGAGTTAGAGAATATCAAAATAAACTTATACAGTTCTAAATCAAAATGTAAATCCATGGAGGGGGGATTTTAAGGGAAAACAAACAAACCCCCTCAAAAATATGGAAATTAAAATGCCATCTTTAATAATTCTATAATTATTTATATTCCAGTTAACTTTAGTCCTTGGTAGCATAGTCTTCCAACATTTGTTCCAGACATTTATTTTTAAAAATGTTCATTTTCTAGCCCCCAAATAGATTTACTAAACTAATGAAAAGAGATGTAAAGGAAATTTCCACTTCTGGGTAGGTTTCAGTAGCATCTTTTTGTGGCTCTGTAGAGTATATAAATTGCCGCAGAAGGTGGCAGTGCTGAGCTATAAAACATAAAACTTCTTGAGCTCTAACAAATCTTAGCTAGTTCACAGCCCAGGGACCCCAAGTTGATCATTACAGACTTTATTATAGATACATAATGTAAAACTCTAGCAAGCCTAACCATTAAACCTAATGTTTGTAAAATGACTAAAGGTTATGCAATAGGAAATCAAGGATATTCACTGGATTTCAAGAAATAGATTCTTTATAGCCCTTATCCTACCTGATCAATAATGCTTCCCCCCCCAAAAGTAGTGAAATGTGTTTATCAAAGCAATAAAATGCAAACCTTTTAAAGGAATCAATGAGACAGAAAGGTCCATGCAGCTTACCATTCATCAGGAGAACAGCCATAATCCTCAGGTTCAGGGACATGGCTTCAGAAAGCAAGAGGAGGGGCAGAAAGAGAGGACAAAATCATCACAGAAAGGCTGGAAACAAAAGCATGAATAAAGGAAGTACTGAAAGATGGATATTGAAAAAGTTAAGAAAATGAACTTTTAGTTGATTCTGAAAGAATGGCAGTTAGTATAGTAAGTAGAACACAATTTATGGTAACTGAGCAGGTTTACAAAATTATTCTATAACAGGATAGCCAACTTGCCTCTTGACCATGGAATTTACTCATTTTATTCCTAGAATTCAATATTCACTAAGAAATATTTTAACCTAGAGGTTTAAATACATGCTAAAACCAATGGAAAATTAATTACATATTATATCATCAGAATAAAGTGTTTTAATGAAACAAACATACTAATACCTAGGAACAAACTATCACTGACAAAATTTGCCAAGTACATCTTAGAAATAAATTTGACTACCATAGAGTAATGGGTCTTTAAACAAGTATATTAAAGTAAAAGTTAATTACATTTCTATAATTAAAAGGAACCACATTTTAAAAGATTAACTGATCCTCAAAATTTTTCACTTAAACTATAATCACTCATTGAGCCATTTGGTATCTCAAACAGAGAACACATTCATCAATAATTTTAATTTCATCCTTTAGCTCATTTGAGCAACGGGAAAAGTCTGACTGATGTATATAGCTTTTGTTTCAACGAGCCACTCATGTATTCAGTCAGAAGATACATGGCAGAGCAGATTTTCTTTTCTTTATGTATTTATTCTATTTTTCTTTTTATTGTTGAAATTTTTTCCAGCTTTGTTGAGATATAATTGATGTATAACACTGCACAAGTTTAAGGTATACAACATGATGACTTGATACACTTATATACTGTGATATGATTACCCCCACAGTGTGAGCTAACACCTCCATCTGTCACATAATTACCATTTTGTGTGTGTGTGTGTGTCTGGTGGGAAAATTTAAGATATACTCTCCTAGCAGCCAGAAAACCTTTTCTTATCTCTCATTTCTTTCACTATATATGACTGTTCAATATTTTTTCTTTAAATTAAATTTATTAGTGGGGCGCCTGGGTGGCTCAGACGGTTAAGCGTCTGCCTTCAGCTCAGGTCGTGATCCCAGGGTCCTGGGATCGAGTCCCGCATCGGGTTCCCTGCTCCTTGGGAGCCTTCTTCTCCCTCTGCTTCTCTCTCTCTCTCTGTCTCTCATGAATAAATAAATATATAAAAAATAAATAAATAAATTTATTAGCTATCAATAGAGTTTAAAAAATGCAGAGTTCAGTAATGTAAACGTAGAGTCATTCATTGTTTCTGACAGAGTTTTCAGTGAAGTCCTTTCACTCCCTCAGTGTCCATCCCACTCCCTCTAGCCTTCCACCAAACTGGCTATGACACAAGCCTCATCATTTGAAGGCACCTCTTCCACCTCCAAAGCATGAAACCGCCTCCAGGACAGTATCCACTGTCTTTAGTCCCAATGAAGGCAGTCCCCTCTACTCACTATTCTCTCTTGTACCAAATGACTTTTGTTGATGCTTGAGAGGAAGGGCTAACCAAGCCACCTGTGGGCTGGACTCCCAGAAAAAATGATGACCTATTGCAAAACTCTGTAGAAACTGACTGCAGCCCAGCGCTGAAGGCAATCACTTCTGATCAACCTCAAGGCTTGGACTCTAGCCGCACCCCCCTCCCTCCCACCCCGGACTGTACCAGCGGAGGGCCAGTGCTACCCAAGCAAAAACACTGTGCTAAGGATCTGCCAAGTTGGACGGCAGTACCCGATCTCACATCAGGGGAGGGGCAAGTGCATCTCAAGTCATATAGCTTAAAAGACGCAAAGCTCAAGGCTCAGGGTCCTTTCTCCTGGGTGGGGTCTAGCCCTGGCAAATGCTATTCAGAATGTGATGAGCAGCAGGAGACCCACACACCTGTTACTGCACCTGTCTGCATGAGTTTCCCCAGGACTGCTGCTGGGGCAGCTCTGGTGTATATGTGCTCTCTGGTCATTTGCCTTTGTGTGCATGTCCATACTGCTGTATCTGCCTGGGAAGTTCTTCACTTAATCAAACCCATTCTTACGTCTCAGCTCAAGCATCACTTTCTTAAGAGCAGTCCCTGACCTGCCTGATTTGATCAAATCCCCATCACAGACTCACGTGGACCTCTGTACTGTGTTTTATCTTTGATTACTTAATTAACATCCATTAACCCCCAATTAGACTATAAATTTTAGGAGGGCAGAAACCATGTGAACTTTGCTGATCATTACAATCCCATCATTTAACAAAGTGCCACATACACAGAAGGAGATAAAAATATTTGTTGAAGCATATAAATAAACAAAAGAATGGTGTTTACCCAGCTCTTACCATGGTGGGCAGTAAGATAAATTTGTTGGTTATAATCTAGACCTCGGGGCTAAATTTTATGGTAATTGTGAGGTTTCTTGTGATGCATCTCTTCTCAGTTTGAAGTACTGATCCTTTCAGCAAACATATTACTAAACAAAATATGGTCATGTTAAGTGGTTCATATATCATATTCATATATACATAGAGATTGCTTTTAAGAAAATTCATCTTTTACTTACAGGGAAAATGTCAATGAAATGTTTGATTAAATGACCAACACAACAAAAATCACTCTTTAGTTGGCTTACTAGAATTTTTTTTTTTTTTTAACTTTAAGACTGTACTGTGTAAAGCTTTGCCCAGCTCATCACCTCATTCTAAATAAGGTCCAAATTGCCAACAAAGATTACACTTAGGATTATAGCCTATTATATTCATTCACTGTATTGAGAGTCCTAGCCAGTGAACATAAAAGCCTCCTTACCCATTCCTGGTATTCCATTTACTTTGATAAAACTGACTCATTTCCTACAGGAAGGAATTTGCTGAAATGATACTTTAACAGTAGAGTTTCTAGTTTGTAATAAGTTAAATTTACAAATGACATCAATTTACGTTTAATCAAAGAAAGATCTAATGAAACAAACTAGTAAGTTTAAACACAGTAGTATCTCTGACAAAGTTGAACTCTACAAAATAATCATCGCTGCTAATTTTGTACAAATCTTTATTTTGTTGCCCATTATGAATCCAATTCGGGCAATGGTTATGTGAAATGAGGGAAAAATCACCAAGATTAAATTTTGAAGCATTGTTTTAAATGCTAAATATTATCTTCTTACAAACCTAAGGAATACTAGGCAAAAATGAAGACACTTCAAGTCTTGTTCTCAAACCCATAAAAGCCAACAGAACTCACCTCTGACTCTACCTAGGGTAAAACTAGGCTTTATCTTACTTCTTAAAAAATGTTGAACAAGGATCAGTTCTGAATTTTTAACCCCAAAAGCATGTGTTAGTTTATGAAAATGTGGGGTGTTCTCCTTTATCCTGGTTTATCCTGGGGGGATAAACACCATGCTTTCTTCTGTTAGAGTTGAAGGTTCGTGTGCATAATAGTTCCCCATATTAAACAAGTGTTAACACTGCTACAGTGCAAATGGGGATTGCAAAACCATATTACTACCCTGTCTGGCTTCCGATAACCCAAGAGTGGCCAGAGGAAATTCCCACAGAAAGATGGTTGACAGTAATTACTTGTCTTGCTGAGTTTGGTGGAATTAACGAATAGTGGTGTGTCTCTTACTGTAAACACCTAAGCATCTGAAGTCTCCTGTATCAACAACTTCCTGTATCAACCACTCTCTACAATACAATGCTGACATTCCAAATGTCCATCAGAATGTTTGGGGGAGGGGATGTTGATAAAAAATCAGGGTTAAGGATCCTAAACGCACATACACAACACTACATGATTACTGGAAGCAGTTTAACAACTCGCTTCACTCAGCAAGGCTTCTGGTATTTTCAAAAACATGATATATCACCCAAGAAAGAAATGTATTTCTGTCTATATAGTTAAGATTTGCAAACAAAGGAACACCTTTTATTTCTAATAAAACATGCTTTTATTTTTATTAATTTTATTTTATTATGTCACCGTACATTACATCATTAGTTTCTGATGTAGTGTTCCATGATTCATTGTTTGCGTATAATACCCAGTGCTCCATGCAGACCGTGCCCTCTTTAATACCCATCACCGGGCTACCCCACTCCCCATGCCCCTCCCCTCTAGAACCCTCAGTTTGTTTCTCAGAGTCCATAGTCTCTCATGTATGTTTTTTTTATATCTAGAATTTTATACCTGGAAAACAACTTTAGAGATCATCTTATCTCACTATCCTCATTTTAAGGAGTTTGGAATATTTGAAAGGAATTATTGATAGTTACATGGTAGATGAGTGATAAAGCCGAGGCTAGAGGTCATGTCTCATGGCTGCACCTCAATATTAAGAGATGTTATTTGCCCAAGAGGAAATTTGTTTTCCTGGAAACTTAATATAAATGATGACAGTTTTTAACGCTTAATACTACTTTAATATTTACCAATCTCAAGCCCACCCTATCATATAATGGTTGTTAATGATAATATCACCAATAGATACAGAAGGAACACTATTCTTTAGAACTACTGCCCGGAAGTGTTTAAGGGCTTGTTGCAAGAAGAAGAAAAAAACTTGGAAAAATGCAGGAGAGAGGCTAGATCTCATTCTAGCTTTCTGTTCTGATTTCACAATCAATATTTGATCATTTGAAGGAACTTGCTTGTTCAATTGGAAACTGGCAAAATAAAAAAAGGATGTCAAGTATCAAACAGACCGCTCTCAAATTCACTTGTCAATGCAGAATTTCTGTAAAAACAATCTTCATAAATCTGTTGTATATATACAACAAATATATAATAAAAAGAATCACAATAGGCCTTTCCTTCTCTTGTGGTTGTCAAATACGCATGACGTCAAAAAGTGTGTCTGCATCACCCCCTCCACAGCAGCTAACCAAATTACAAGGCTGGTAGCTATTGGCGGGGAGGAGTAAGGACAGCCTTTTCTAGGGGAGGTGGGGGAGTTTCAGATAAAGAGGAAAGATGCAAAATGGCATGCAGCCCTGGAAACAGTAAGTGTGCTTCTTAAATTAACATCCCGTCTTGGCAAGTGTGAAAAAGCCATTCAATCAAATGTCTTTTCGGCTTCATTTACACACACAGTTTGAAGTCCATTTTAGTCACACTCTCTGCTAACCCAAAGAATAAGGATATCTGCCTCCATCTACTCTTTGTAGACCCTTGTTGGAGTAACCATTTGCTTTTAGAATTTTTTACCAAATGGTTATTTATTTATAATTTTAATTAAGGTATTTTCAAAATTCAATACATTATTTTTATACTCGCTTATGGTTTGGAGTGGGGAAGAGTACACACCAGAAAACCCAAACGCAAGTGCCCTTGCTTCAAAGGCTAAGGGATCAGTATTTCCCAGTCTCACTTACAGATAAAGATAATTGGAAAATTTGATAATAGTCATGGTCAAGGTCACTCCAACCAAGGAAAGTTTCACCTTTTGATCACGTCCTTTTAGGAAATGTACAGATTAATTTTCTCACATTATCCTAAAAAGGTATTTCAAAAAGAAGGCTTTTGAACGATTTAGGTAAACATAACTCCAAAAAAGAAATAAAAGGGTTCTTAACAAGCATATTCTAAAGGACATCAGGAGCATGATAAAAGTTTCTGAGGGTACTCGTTACAACCTAGATTTAAGAGTTTCGTGTTCCTACCTCCTTCCCACCATCAGAAATTTAGATTGCTCTGTGACTGCAAAGAGGAGAGATGGTATAAGAAAAAACAAACTAAAGGGATAACTATCAGAGAAACAACAGTATTTTAACTTGAAAACTGGACACTCTGCATGTTATTACGACATTGTACTCTAACTCTATGGCAATGTAGAGGGAACTGTATTTTTACTTCATGACCAGAGCCAGATAGAGACCTTTAGCAACTCTAAACTTGGAAATACTACTGGGTAGAACCTCCACCTCATAGGTAATTCCAAATGAAAAACAACTTCAAACTATAACACAAAACATACATGTATGCTGCAGTCAAAACAGGGGCTTTTTATGTTAAAAAAAAAATTTCCCCTAATAAGAATTCTCAAAACACACCGAACTATTAGCATTTATTAAATGTGTGTTTCACATTCTAATTAAAGGGAAAAAAAAAACTCACCCATAAGCAACTCCAGCTATGGTGCACTTCTTAAACTGCATTACATTGCAGGTCAGAGTGCCAGTTTTGTCAGAAAATATGTATTTTACCTAAAAAAAAGTTTAAAATTTCTCGTTAAAATTTCAGAAGTCTTTTTATGCCAGTCTGTCACAGAGGGGGAAAATACCCCTTAAATAATTTATCAATCTTGTTATATTAATAGGGGCACAATGAATGCCATTAACTGATGATTTTCTTCACATTAAGGAATATTTTCAACTTTTTTTTATTTTAGTACTTTAGCAATGAATCATTTCATGTATGAACAGTAAAGACTATCAAGATGGTTAGAAAAACTGCAGCCATCCAGAAATCTGCCTTGACATAGTTGGAATTTCCACTAGAAAGTGCAACTACTGTTACTTAACATTTATGGAGCACTAAAACATCTACCGGGATTTCTCAACGTTAACAATTGCAGAATTAATAATGGCTTGTGCAATCAACTTCATATAACATCCGCATTGGTAAGAAAAAGGATAATTCTGGCCGAAATACTATTTTGAAAAGTAAAAGTTACCAAATGGGAAAAATACAGAATAAGAATTTTTTCTGAGCTAGTATCTAAATATGGATTACAAAGATACACATATATGTGAATACAGTGTAAATTATGAATCTAAAATTCCTGTTTGATTACTTTCATACTTGACTTACACAGCATCAGTGATCAAGTTAATTTTTTCTTCCTTTCTGGTCAAAAGCTATGAGCAATTTTAATACTGAGGGTTTATCACTCAAAAATAGCCAATACTTGACTAGTAACCAGATTATATACTGAAGGAAATCCCTTAGCGCAATACCTTATCTGAGAGCAAAATAGGTTTTACATAATAAGGTTTTTAAAACTTCATTTACTAAAAATGATAATTACGTACTAACATGTATTTATGCTGATTATTCAAATAATGGAAAATTAGGAGCTGTCAATTCATATGAAGTTGCCACATATGGCAGAAATTACAATGAATCTGACTTCCGATTTAACGTATCAACAAGAAATTCGGTTTACCTGGCCAAGTTCCTCGTTCAGATTAGATGTTCGAGCCATAGCAGCAGTGTCTGTGGGTTCATAGTGCATGTCGAGATCCTTTTTTTTAAATAAAAGAAATTACTAAATGCAACTGGTAACAAGAGATTACTGAAATTTTATTTAACTAGTGAGCTATAATATGAAACCACTCTCATGTCTTGCCATCTTATACCATTTCAGTTGATTTCCCTGAAAAGTACTCGGTATAGAATATTATATTTCACAGTAAGGGTAGGACAGCATGGCAGTTAGAGCATATCTCTGCAATCAGGCAATCTTGATTTTTCCATAATTCTACCATTTTCTAGATATGTGACCTGTGGTTAAGGATTAAATAATGTACGTGAAGTGCTTCCTCAAGTGTCTGACACAATATAAAGTACTTAATGTAGCTAAAGTAAGAGCAAGTAAACATTGCTCAAATAATTAAGATTTTAAACCCCTAGAAAAAGTACCGAAGAGATTCTATCTGGTTCTACTTTCTTGGCTCAAGTTCCTTCCACTGTATATACTTGAAAGCAGAAGGAGTGCACTTCTCAAAACCCAAACAAATATGTACCAATTTGTACCAATTTGTACTTGTTTTGTACCATTATGAGGCTTGACTATTAAGCCTATAAGAATTAGTATTTTCTATAGTACACCATTTTATTGGCAAGTCAGGGTTTACTGATTTTCACATGTCAAAGGAAAAGGACAAATCTGATCTTTCCCACATTTGCATTTCAGACTGATCAGCATCAGTTCTGAAGAAGGTTGTTGACTTGTAGGTGCCATGTTTTAAGAAGGATATTAAACAACTGAGCAATGTTCAGAGAGGAATGAATGGAACGGGGAGTAAGTTGGAAATCAAGTCTAATAAGGAACAGAAAGAGATGAAGGAAGATGTGATAGAAGAATAGGCATAGTAGCCGAGGTCTTTTTTTTTTAAAAAGATTTATTTAGAGAGAGAGTGTACACGTGTGAGTGGGTGGGGAGGGAGAGAGAGAATCTCAAGCAGACTCCTCAATGAGCACAGAGCCCGATGCAGGGCTTGATCTCATGACCCACATGTGATCATGTGAGATCACAACCTGAACTGAAACCAAGAGTGGGATGCTTAACCGACTGAGCCACCCAGGCACCCCCAGCTGAGTTCTAATACTTTACAAGGCTATCATTCAGAAACACGATTAGACATTTTCATAAAAGATCAGGTAGAACCAGTATCAAAGGGGGGCAGTTATTAATCTCATTTCCACACACAGAAGAGCTGTCTGGTGAGTGAAGAACTGTCAGCAATGTTATAGAATCTTTGTACAATAGAAAGGTGGTTGAGAAGGATAAGCCTGCTGGGTTGCTCCAACACTCAAATTATGTCATTATTTGAAGCAAATATTATTTTTGAAAACCTAAGTAAAAAATAATAAAGTGACTGACTAGTTATTTGATTTTCAAAATGAGTCACCTTATGATTTCTTATTGTAAAGTGGGAAACCTCAAAAGGTTTTAATTTTATTTACACAAATTTTATTACATAATTTTTCAGCAACACATTTCCTGCATGAAATAAGCCACAACTGCCCCTCATTTTAGGTTTCTAAATTATACTGGTCTTCTACCAATGAATTAGGCAATTTTACAGCTGAGTTGGATCATTTCATGGGAAGGTAATGAGCAGTGGCAAAAGTATTACCGGTTATATTTTTAAAAATCCTAATATTGTTCACTTGAAAGACTTTTAAATAATTTAAAAAGATAACATCAAAAGATAATACCAAAATTTCCCAAAATAAAAGAAAAATTAAACTTTCTGGCAGATTAAGTCTGAAAGCTTATTTAATTTACATAAATTCATTAATTTTAACTTTGGTAAAACAAAACTAACAACACATTTTATAAACAAAATATTTAGGAAACAGATATCCAGCACATTTTTCCAAGATTAAAAAAAAATTTGAGAAGAAAAAAATTAAGCACAGCTGAATTTGTTTACAGTGGGGAAGAATAAACTACATAGATATATAAAACATGACAGCCTAGTTGTTACAAGCAGTGAATACAGTATTATTTCTACAGTACTCAATTGTTTAGGAGGCTGTTTGCTATGTTGTGAGATTCCTTTGCTCTGTATTACCACCGTGAGATGCTGGTAAAGCATGTTTTACCATTCCTATCTAAAGGCCCAAGAAAATAAGTCTCAAAGAAGTCAGGTGGCTTGGCAAAGTTCACACAGCTAGTAAATATAGAACTACAACAATAATCCAGATATTTTAACTCCAAACCTCATGGTTCTCCTTTTCCCCAAGACACACTATATAACCCAAAATAGGTTTCCTTAACTGGAGACCTAGTTTCCCACAATGTCTGGTCTGTAAACTTGTATGATTCTGAGATAAAGAGTTTTTGCTATTGATTTTTACATGTCAAATGAATTTGTTATAATTATATTAGAGTCAAAAATATTTTGAAATGTCATCTTGCAGTCAATAAAAGTTAAGGTATAATTAAGATTTTGTTTCTGAGAGATCAAAGGACATTATGAGGCGGGGTGCCCGGCTGGTTCAGTCGGTGGAGTGTGCGACTCTTGATCATGGGGTCATGAGTTCTAACCCCACACTGGGTGTAGAGATTACTTAAAAAAAAATTAAGATCTTTAAAAGACCCTATCCAAAAAAAAAAAAACAAAAAAAACCAAAACATATACTTAGAATGATGAAAAACAATAATTCATATTTACCCAATTTATGAAGTATGCCTGGGTAAATTTCACCACTTCTAATGTAACCAACAAGCTGATAGGAATGAGATTGTTGAAAAGGATGATGAAGGTCAAGAAATTCAGTCCAAAATTATTAGCACCACCATCTGTTGGGGGAGGTGGGAAGAAAGTCATTTGTAGTTTTATAGATTTCATTTGCATTGACCAGTACTTGAGCATAACAAAAATTTTCCATATTACACAACATCTCTAGATAGTTTGGGAGGAATACTGTGCTGATAGCATATCCTTATTCTCAAATACATTCAGGATGGAGCAGCACTTTCCGTGTTCCGTATATTGTTAGTACTATTAAGAACTTCATAATGGTACTAACGAATGAAAGCACTGCTAAGTATTTCAAATCCTGTTCCAAACAGGAAGTTTAGAGGTATCAGGGACAGGATTGTGGGTTTATAAATGTAAACTCTCCATTGGGCAAAATCACTGTTATGTAAATTCTTAAAAAGCACTCCTGATTTAAAGCATGCCTTAAGAGCAATCAAACAAAACAGCAGCAAAACTAATCCAAACAGCAAAAACAATGTAGGGCTGTACCCTAGGCAAATTATACCCTTCCTCTTCAATAATGAAAATAGAACCGTTATGGCAGACACACTGTAAAGTATCTGAAGAAACAAACTAATGGGAGTCCTAACAGTTCTAATGTTGAAATAGTAAATCAATGTAAAAAAAGCTGGAGTAGCCACAAACTAAATCAATATGATAAAAACTGAAAAAAATCAATTTTGCTACAAGGTTTACTAGAATTTGCTTTCACGCTTTTGGAAATTAAGTATTTATTGGTTAAGTACTCAGGGCATGAATTGCATGGAGCACTGGGTGTTATATGCAAACAATGAATCGTGGAACACTACATCAAAAACTAATGATGTAATGTATGGTGATTAACATAATAAAAAAAAGGCAATGCAAACTTATTTTCCAGAAATATTCAGGGATGGTACATCCCCACAATAGTAAAAGGATAGATGGTCCAAAAAGAACCTATTTAATAGGACTTTCCCTAAGACAAGATGACCATTAATATGGAATTTACTGCATTCATGAGTTCAAATGAAAGTACAGTAAATTTAAACATTTTACAAGCATGTGCTTTAAATATAATCAATCTGCTTTATTCACCAGGTAGCTATCTAACCACCTGTGTTAAAATATTTTAAAAGAATGAATAACATTAACAAAAATAATATTAATAAACTAACATTTTATACTACTCTAGAGTAATCATTATATATTTAAGGATTCTGAAATTTTAAAAACTAACAACATTTTACTTTCTTTTACTGGAAATTGCATTGAAAAATAAAATTAAATGCCCAGTTATTGTGGCAATAAGGTTTTCTTTTTAGGAATTATAGGAAATCCCATCAGCTGTGAAACAAATACATGTTTTAATGAAAGAAAAAATAAATACCATAGGCACTTTAATGCTTACAGTTTAGGTTGAGATACCAGTCCTTCCCAGAATGCCTCCGATTCCAAATGGCTGAGCCCACAGAACAGATAAGAGACATGGCAATTAAGATACAAAATAAAATCAAAATTTGTACATTTGTAATCCGTTCCACATTTGAGAGTTTAAGTGGTGGACTTGTTGAATTCTGTAAAAAGAAACAAGATGAGCAATAAAAAATGTGTACAAATCGATTTAGTAATGTATATTTGGTATTTTGATGAAGATGACAAAGTCAGTCACAACTCAAAATCTAGACATGGGTAGGCACCTGAAAATCATACAGAAAAAAAATCACAGATGTAATAAGCTGTCAAATGTTAACGACCTTTTTTTTTGTTTTTTTTTTTCCTAAAGGCCACTATACCACCAAGCCTTTTTCTAGGATGTAAAACAATAATAAGAAGAGAAGGAAATAATATTCCTTTTAGAGACGTAACTTTCGCATTGTGGCAGGAAGATGAACAAGGCATTACTTGACTACTTAAGCAAAGAGGGTAGATGAGAGGCATTTAGCAGCTCAGCTCAGGAAGAGAGGCAGAGGAGGTGGCCTACACACCCATAACCAGAGACCTGGAAGTTCCAAAGTATGCTTAAAGAATCTCTGGTTTCCAGATTTCTGGTGGCATTCAGTAACAGCAACAATCTAAGTAGTCCTGGCTATAAAGAATAACTGAAGTAAGTTTCCTTAGCTGCGTTAATGATAAAAATGATCATGCTACATCACTGCTAACCAAGGCATCCATAGGACAGAAAATTCAATGTCATCATAGATATAAAATAATGGTTTACAGAATTTATAGAATGGTTAAGGGTGGAATCATTATGGTTAGGGTAGAATCATTAATAGCAGTCCCATTTGCCTGTTGATAACATCTCCGTGACTTTACAGTTTACAAAGTTATCAGACCTTAAAGCAGATTTTCATTTAGTATCTTAAAATAGTTTTGCCCACCCATCTAACCCCTGAACACTCATGTTATTATGACAGAGAAGAAGCATCCTCAGGCATGTGTAAACATTACAAGTGCTAAGACTAAAGCTGATTAGAAATGGCTTACCATAAAAATGCTACCAAAAAAGGTCAACATTTGGCTCACAAATTCTTCTTTTAATTTTTTTAAATTTTATTTGTTTTAAAGATTTCATTTATTTATTTGACAGAGAGAAGCAGCGAGAGAGGGAACACAGGCAGGGGGAGTGGGAGAGGGAGAAGCAGGCTTCCTGCCAGGCAGGGAGCTCGAGGCGGGGCTCCATCCCAGGACCCTGGGATCATGACCTGAGCTGAAGGCAGACACTTAACGACTGAGCCACCCAGGCGCCCCTCTTCTTTTAATTTTACGAAAAAATGAAAACAGTTCTAAAATTTGATCACTGTATTAAAATAAAATTATAAGACAAATACTTTAATGTAGAGCACTCATCATTGCATAGACAACTAGTATCTACCACTGCAATGGTGAGTAAATGTTGCCAGAGGACCAATACATAAAATCATTAAGAGTTCACGCACTGTTGATCTCTGATGAAACTTTCCCGTATTCTTGTGTGCATGAGCCATTTTATGGCCCCAAACACTGAAGAACGAGATTCTGAATGTACAGAGTGGGGCTCTGGAATCTGTGACAGATGGTCTGCTATGTTTGGGACTACTGCATAGAGAGCTACAAATAGCGCATTTTCAAGAGAATAGGTCCACAAGGTTTTCATAGATAAAAAATCCCACCTGCATCAGCTTGGTGTCATGTCCAGTGTAGACAACTATTCCATGAACCCACTGTGTATTTCTCAACTGGGCGCCTCGAAGAAGAATCTGATCTGCTCCCAGGGGGACAGTGCTATGATAGATGATGTTGACATTAGAAACAACATTTTCCAAAATGCTTAAGAATTCTATGGCTACTACATAGTTCCAACGAAGGTTCTGCTACTAAAATAGCCCTTCTCACATTTACTTTATTTTTAGAAGAGAAGTAATTTTCCTACCAGTAAGAATAATTTTTTTTTACACAAGGACAGCTGGAGGGAAGCAGTTCGGTTGCTTCTCCCCAGCACCCAACCAGCCATTTCCTACAACTTCACAATCCAAGATAGTAGGCAATGTTTTGAAATTCAGAGGCTAATTTTCAAACCTATTTAAGACTTTTCCTGATTTAGCAAGTCTGTTTAGGTTTCTGAGATGTTTGGAAGTGGTGAGGTTAGGGGATCTGCTCCCCCTCCCACACCTAATTAAAAATAGCTTTGTGCATAATAAAGGTTCAAAAAAAAGACAAGGCAAGGTAAATACACAGATCTCATCATACATTTGCATTGCCATCCCCACCGTACAGACATAAGTCCTGTATTTAAAATCTCTAGGGTAATTTTTTGTATTTGAATTTCAATTCTCCAAGAACTGTGAATAAGTTTCTAATCAATGATAAGCATCTAACAAGTCTTAAACTTTCTTCTGAAATGACAGCAAATTGAGGATATCCATTCCATATCATTTAAACCACATTTTTTCATGAATAAAGGCCAAATTGGGTCTTTTGTTGGTTCTTGGTAAAACTACCCACTATGGTAATTTGTTGGTTGACACAACCTCACACAGAGATATCAGAATGGTACAAGTTATCACAGATATAGTGGGATTCTTGATGGAAATGTACTATACGAGATGTAATAGCTCAAGGATTCCTATCACTATGTCTTCGTTTTAGTATAAAAAAAGCAAGAAAGAAATGTCAAATATAAAGAAAAATACATTAAAAAAAAAAAAAAAACTTCTGGAGAAAGGAGGAAACCTCCTAAGAAAAGTCTCCAAAGAACACAGAACTTCTTGGCCAGTAGAGGCAAAGTGAGATTGAATCTTTCATTTCTGGGGGGCTTTTTATGGTCTGGTAGGTGTCTAAAGCTAGTAGCAGCTTGGGCCTTGGACCTTCTTTCAGGAACTATGTGAGGGTCACTGGCTCAGGTGAAATCAATCCAGATGGGTGGGTAATAACAGCACCTGAAGGCCTCTACTCAAAGAAACCCTTAGGAAACAGTGTATGTCAATTTAGAAAAAGAATACAGCGGCTATAATTCTCATTCTTTCTGTAGAATAGCATGCCTTTCAGACCCATCTGGAAGGGAACCCCCCTTGTGTGTATCTCAAGATTTGGGGTGTACTTCAGAGTTGGGAGGGGACCTTAGGTCTAAAGTACATTTCCAAGAAGTTCTTGGGAAGCTGCTAGATGATGTTCTGGGGTACATATGTGCCAACTGTCCCTCACGTATACAATGGGGTCTAATAGGACAACTGTCGCCTCAGCATTTGTGGTGTGGATTGATTGGAATTAGGTACAAACTCTTCAAAAGCAAAAAAAAAAAATACTACTTTTCAATTATAAGCACTCAATAGGAATTAGTTATTAGATTTCATCAGAATTGGAATTCCAAAAATTCTGGCATTAGACAATGACTCTCATCCTTAAAAATGGAATCAAAGAACACTAATTCCAAACAAAGGGGCTCCAAGAGCTCTGGGTAATCACTGTAAACGTCAAATGTGCTACAAATACAAAGGTATGTTTCCACCTTTCATATATTTTAAAGCATATTATATAAATTCTATCTGTACCCTAAATCTTGGCACGATCATACAAAGTTTCTCTTCCACTGTGTGGATTTGCTTGGCATTGATTTTGATGGGGAACTGATAAGAAATGGAACCTGGCCAGTTAGGAATGTCAGACTCTAGAAACATTACTCATATAAAGGGCCAACTCTATTATTAGTCTATAACCATATGTTCACTTTGTGAGGTCACTCTGTGCAAATTTTAGAACAATATATAATTACTTCACAAATTACAGGAAAGTTTTTGGTGGATCAGAATGACGAGGACAGTTTAGGGTATATTTCAAATGTCCTTTAGAATCCAAATACTGTAATAATGCAGTTACAAAATAATGAAAGCACTGACAATCTCTCAGGCTGGTGGAAGGAACTAGTGCATTTAGCTGTCCACTACATCTACCTGGTAGGTAAGGTATATCATAAAGTAGAGGAGTCAGGGGGGAAGGGAAGGGAGGAAGAAGAGGGAGATCGGAAAGACCCCACCCTTCCTGCCAAGTGCTACTCCATTTCTGCTCCCTTTTGCAACAAAGCTCCTCAGAAAATCTGTCTCACCCTGGTATTTTCAACCCTATCCACTCTCTCAGATTTACTTCCTCAGGCTCCATTAGTTCTAACCAAGCTCAAGGATTTCTACTTGCTAAATCCAACTGTTAATTCTCAGCCTCACTGCACTTGACCAGCAGCAACATCTGACCCACTTCAGTCACTCCCTCTGCCATGGTAGAGTTTCCTCACTCTTGTCTTGGCTGCCTTCCTACCAACCTGATTTTGGTTTCTTTGGCTGGTCCCTCCTCTTTTCTCAGCCTTAATGTTCCAGAGTCTTAGGACAGTTCTTGGGACTCCTCACCTTTCTATCCATACCCCTTCACCCTCAGTGATTTCATCTACTTCCATGGCTTTAATTATCTATGCCAACTATTCCCAAATCTGTCTCAGGACCCAGGCCTCTATCCCAAACTTCAGGCTTACGTATTCATCTGCCTCCCTGACACAAACTTATTAAGTCCAAAACTGAATTGCTGATATCCCCCCTAAACCCTCTAATGGATCCCCATTTCACTCAGAGCAACACCCTACAATAGCCTTCAAAGCTTTGCATGGTCTTTCTTTTATTACTCTTTCTTGGTGACTCCACTCCAACCATGCTGGCCTCCATGAAATTCCATAACTACTCCAGGTGCTTTCCCACTTTAAGATGATATAATAATCTAATAATTTGCACTATTCCTTCGGTCTCCCTTCAGATATGTGAACGGCTAACTTCCTTACTTCCTACTCACCTGGCTCAAATGTTACCTGCTGAATGAGGCTTACTTAACAATCCTAACTCAAAGTGATTCCCTCCCAAGGACTCCCAATCTGCCTTGTCCTGTGCTATTTTCTTCCCAAAGCATTTATCACTCTCTAATACAGTATAAAATTTTCTTATTTATCATTTTATTGTTTGTCTGTTTGCCCTTCCCTTACTGCAAGAAAGTAAGCTCACAAAGGCAGGTATATTTATCTCTTTTGTTTGTTGCAGTCTCCTTAACACCTGTAACTAGCCTAGTCCACTAGGTGCTTAATACTGGTTCAATCAATGAGGGAAGAGGCAGGAAAGAGAAGTGGGAAGGGAAGAAGAGCAAGAATCAGGTGATGGCAAAGATAAATACAATTGATTAACATGGCCTAGAAAGGAGCATATGAAATGATACAGAGAAGAAGACAAGAAATTATCCAGTACAGTGAACTCCTTGGGGGTAGAGTCTAAACTCCTTGAGGCACCTGTAGATCACAGGTAAGGACTCAAGCCATGGAGACTGCAGATAGGCCTATAACATAAGTATTCTGGCCAAAGAATAAGCCACTAAACAATGTGCCAGAAGCCTGGAATGTCCCTGAAAACATCCAATTGTCAGTTTGGCAGGAATCCTGAGGAAGTCTTTAGCTGTACCAAATGCATAACGTTAAGAGCTAACATTTCTGCAAAAAGACTCTTGGTGGAAAGTAATATAGAAATGCTTAAGAAAGAGGCTCTGAGTGTTCGGAGTTAGAGCATGAGAAAAGAATATGTACCCAGGCTTGGAAAACACTCAGCAATACACTTGAGATACAGTGAGTTCTGTGTTTTTATGAAAATTTACCAATTTTACGTACCTATGTCCATCAAGCCTTATGTTTCCAACAAAATCGTACAGATGTCTGTTTGGACTTTCACACTCGATTCTGCCAGAAATTCTCATCAAACTGTCAATGTCTTTTATATCTGATGTTGCTGGTAAGCCCTGTTTAGGAATTTTTAAATAAGCAAAAGATTAAATGAGTTGCATGTGGGAGTGAGGGAGGGGGGATTCTGAATTCATCTAGGCCTTAAGATCTAAGAGATCCCACTATTTTATAAGCAAGTCTCCCCCCTTATACAATACTCTTTGCCAAATCATAGTTAAGAGGATACCTTCCTCTCTGCTTGAACACAAGAGCAGGGCAGCTTTTGTGAAAGTTCGAAGACATATTTGAGACTATAAACTTGTCTGCAAAGATATTTTGAAGTCCTCAAAGAACTGTTTGCTTCCAAAAATAAAATTAATATTTAGCACTATACAATCTGTCTGCTGGATCTCAAAAAAGGGAATGCAAAATAAACAGAATCTATGTCCAAAGAAGAGTCAGTATGTTTCTGTTCTTTCAGTCCACAGAGAAGGAAAACTCAGAAATGGTTCTTCCTCCTGGCCAACTAGATTCTACTAGCTGGAAGCGGACAGGCCCCTGTTTCCCAGGGCCCTCTGAGTTCACGTGCTATGATGACCTATTTCTACCACATCCCCAACCTTCCCACTGTTATTTCCATCATTCATTCACCTAGAACCCAAGAGAGTACATTTTTAAAAGTCCCTTTAAATGACTGTTGCTTTCTGTCAGGGATGGTATGTGAAGCAAATATAGAAATCTAAAACTATTCCCTGAGATTAGTGAGACTTTTAGAACAAGCAATGGAAACTCTGTCTTTTCAATATAGCAAAGCCAAACCATGATTTGGTCCAGGGGAATAGGGAAAATAAATAAGTGAACCCCTGTCAAGGCACTTAGAACTACTAGTATTATTATCAGGGTTGGCTATTACATCAAATATTAAAAATATTACAGATAGTATCTAGATGATGGACCATAGTTAATCAGTCAAGTAAATTTGAGTCTTCCATTATACTTGACGTATCCTCATAGCGGCTCAATGAGAAAGTACTTGCAATTAGAGAGAATTACTTCAAGACAATAACAGAAATAAAGCTCTTGATTCCATGTAATAAATCAGCAAACATTATATAAACCTGAATTAGATCTTACCTGTCTAATTTTCAGGTTTGTTTCACCATCTAAGTTGGATGTTTCAATGTAGCACATGGCCTGGGGCTCGCTGTTGTTTAAAATTGAAAAGCAAAAAGATTTAGTGGGGGAAGGAAAACATAATAACTTATTTAAATGCTTAGACTCACTGAAGCCTTTTGTTCTAAACAAAGCTCTAGCCCGTCTAGTTTCTTGATGATTTTCATTCTAACTACTAAATGCTGGGAGGCAGAACCCATGCATGACAATCCATGGATCAGCTTTTCAACTAGAACGACCAAAAAGCAATTTCCTGACAATCAGTACTGATCTTCAAGATAATGTAAATGATTAGATCTGTCATAGGATACTTAAATTGCTCATCCATATAGACACAACACAGACTGTATCTGAAATGTAAAGTAGTTTGTGTCCAGATTTATCTTCAGCTCAAAAATATCAAGTGAGATTTCATGCTTGTAGCCCATGTATAAATTGGTTAAGGAAAGTGTTTGATTAGAGAACTCCAGATTGCTGCTTCTGCAAACTTGCCTTTACTACCTTTTAAGAAAAGATGAATAGAATCCTACGAATCATAATATTTACATTTTAAGGCTACTTTAAAAAACTGTATGAACAGATTTTAAAATGAAAGTAGATAAACACTCTTCTCCCTCTGTTTTCTTTTTTCTGCTCCTGTTCTATTTCTTAAGGTCATTTCAGAGATTCTCCTGGGAGAAAATACTGAAACTAAAGCCAGCCAACTTGGCCATGTTGCTCCTTGACCTGAACCTAGAAGATCCACTTCATGAGGCCCCACCAGAGTGTTTTTGGGAAGTGTGGTGAGCAGCGGCTGGCGGCAGGGGTCTGTGTACCCTGGACTGTTTATGTCCTTCCCCTTCACAAACTGACTTTACATGCCCAGCAATTACAGACAGGTGAATTTGCCATCTACTTGTATAATCGGATCCTCGAGTATCAGAAGTGTTATGGAGTGATATCAATCTCATGAACACGTGGTTATACAGTAAACCTAATTAACATCATATAAGTAACTCCAAATGTAATCTCAGATTAGCATATGTCTTCAAAGTTAGGAACTATTTGTCAGTTCCAAACACCTGCAATCTTCTAATCAACTTTCAATTTGTACATGTGTAAAACAGACTAATCCCAAGTTTCAGAAATGGGCATGTAGCTTAGTTGTGTGGCCTGCAGATTTGTGAAAATTGCTGAAACATATGGTCATTGATCAAACGTTTTACAGATTCATTTTAAAGTCACTTGGCAAGTTCTTCAATTTAGTCTATGGACTTCTTTTTTTTTCCCCTCCCATAAAGGCTGATACTTTCTTCCCAACTGAAGAAGTTTTTTGATATTTATATTTTCATTCTATCACTTATTCAACATTTTGCTCTTTATCACTATCACAATAGTAATCTGGCTCTGGTAACTGCTGCTAATTTGCAACTTACTCATGTATACATTTGAAACATAAATGGTTTATGAAATTATAAAACATATCTTCTGATAATATAGAAGCACAATGACAAGCAAATGCTAAGTGAACAATGCAGATTCTATATTTTGGCAGTAAAATGCATTAAAATACTACTGATCAATATATCCAAAGCCATTCTCACATTAAAATGAGAATAACATTCTATTTTTTTTTCCCCACAAAGCAATTCTTCTGCGACTTTAAGTGGCTAGGAAGTTAAGAAGTCAAATGGCTGACTTCTATGTGAAGTGGGGCCAATAAAAGGCATCCAAATTCAGAACATTCTTAATCCTTTAGGACAGCTGTTACTGAAGCAGTTTTTAATAGTGCTATGAAAAAGCAGCAAGAGGTTTTACATAAGGAGTCATGCTAGGTAATAAATATTTCAGCAAATTATGGTGACATCCAAAACGCAAACTACAATCAGAGAGGCAAGGCAGGCTTTTCGATTAGTAAGTGGAAAAATGAAACAAGATGCATATCACAATACAGACACTGGTAGACAGCTGAACTTTATCACAGTAACATGCACTTTGCCACTAGTTACAAGTGGGATAAGAACGGATCCCAAAGCATGCGGTACAAAATGTACAACATCCAGCTTTGTGCAGGGGGTCCTCTGTAAACCCTAGATAAGCCCAAATTACGGTCATAATTGCTGAAGGGATTCTATAAGACTTATAGAAAATTTCAAATATAAGAATCAGACAAAATTTCTCAATAACTTCATTTCATGAAAAGCTTCACACTGTTCAAAACAGTATCCTGGAGAGGTATTATAATCAGCCTTAGTATTTAGGCGTGTTGTTAAATACGAATATATGTTAATGATGTATAGGAAATTAAAATCTACCTTTACAGTCATGCCTCATAGACTCCTATTGATAACAATAGGAGCTGAATCTGCCCCCTTGAGGGACAGACAGCATTCAACACTGTATTCATAAAAGGCCTTTAAAATGTCTATCTCCAAGAAGTATAAAAAATTTTGAGTTTTAAAGGAAGAGACATTGAACGCAACCATCTTTGGGTGCAATTGTTCTCTGTTGTAGGGTGAGGATCCACATACACACATCCTGTACGACTCAGTGGTTCTAACCTTGAGGAAAGGCTGATGAGATCTGCTGGGAGATGTTCCCCATTGGTCACTTTCACTATTTCCCCTACTGCCACCTACAGGTCCCAGTTTAAAATAATTAAAACAGAAAAAAAATGAAAAACAGAAAAAAGAAAAACCAAACAAATGGACAAAAGAGACAGAAAGTTTGAAATTATTATAGAAAATAATACATGTTAATAAAAATGTCTAATGCCAATTTTTTCAAAATTTATTTTGATCAGGTCTAAAGGCCCAAGAAAACATGATATAGTGAAGGATTACTTGCTTTTAAGCCCAATGTTCAAAAGTTTATTCACAAGACTCTCTTACCCAATAAAAACATGATTTTATACAGAGAGCTACTTATTTTATAGATTTTCCTTTCTCCAATTCCTCACTCTCACGCCATCTACTCCTACCCAAGAAGGAAAGAATTGTGGAAACCATGTTTTAGGCTTTTGAGAAACCAACTATACTAGTCCTCCCTGCCCCCACCCATACACTAAAAAAAAGAAAAGTATTAGAAATTTTCTGATTCCAAAACATTTTCAAAGTTAATTGTATACATATCATTAACTTTAACGCAAAGGTATAAAGATATGGATCTTAGGATGTTAGAAGGCATAATTGCAGCCTTTTGAGTTGCTCAATAATAACAAAGTCTTGGTGATGCATTGTCTTAGAAGGGTAAGCCTTTGAATCCAGGGAAGGTGTTCCAGAGGCTTATGAAACAGACATGCCAGGAACCTGTGTGGACCTGAATTAACAGCTTGAGTTATTTTACTCGGTTTTTATACTTTCTAAACTCATACATGTATTTGTTTGTTATATACTAAAACCTCAGTTTCTTCATGTCAAAGTGAAAACCAATGAAACACACTAACTTTCAACAATGTTCATGCGTTAATTTCAAACTACCTCAAAGAGGGTGCACTATTAATTAATAATTGAAAAATATTTGGAAATTAAAATATTACAAACTGTTGCTTATGCTTACTGTTAAATGGTGCTCACCTGCAGGTGAAAATCACCATGTCCTTATTTTGATAGTGGACAGTGTGGCATAATGAAGGTATTGGATTAGGGATTAAGTATCTCAACCTTGACCTAGTCATCAGCGAAAGTTAAATGGCAAAAAATAAGACTTAAAGTCAAGATTCCACTTTCTGTTAAATGAGGACAAAAGCTTCTACCTATTTGTTTGTTTGTTTGTTTTTGTTAAGAAGGCTCCATGACCAGTGTGGAGCCCAAAGCAGAGCTCAAACTCTCAACCCTGAGATCAAGACCTAAGCTGAGATCCTGGACGATTAACCAACTGAGTTACCCAGGCATCCCAAAACTTCTACCTATTTCATAAGGCTAATGTAGGTTCACAAGAGTAATGCAAAACCTTTTGAGAAAAAAACAAACAAACCTGAAAGGTGGTATTTTGCCAGTGGGATAGAAACATGTAACTGTAGAGGCTTTATACTTTAAATGCTACTAAGTAACTAAATACAATGAATCAGATAATCTTTTAAAAAATAATCATCTTTGGAGCAAGTTAATCTCTGTGGATTCTATATTAAGCTATAGAAACTATTGTGGCAACTGGCCAGCTCAGTAGGTGGAGCGTGCAACTCTTGATCTTGAGGTTGTGAGTTTGAGCCCCACTTTGGATGTAGAGATTACTTAAAAGTAAAATCTCAAAAAACAAAAAAAGACATAGACACTATTTTGATCTACCATATCTATAGCTACACTACAATATCTATAAGCCACCAGTGAATGTTTTTAATGTTGAGAAAATAACGCCTATAAAAATGTTCTAAACTTTAAGAAATTTGAGCATCGAGCTTTCTGGGAGTTTTTGGGGTTGGATAGAGGGAGATGAAAAATATTTTTTAAAACTTTTAGTTCAGAATTAAGTATAAAGTCAGGGCAATGTAGTCAACTATGTCCATACTTTTAAGCATATAAAAAATAAATCTGTAATGGTTCACATACATGATACTCTCTATGGTAAGTTATGTCTCTATGACAGGTTTAATCAGGAAAACATCATTACTTTCTTAAAGTGCTGGAGTGCTTCACTATCATTTTGAACTTTGTCATAGGACATTTACATGGTCAGTCATCTACTACTTTATCAACCTTTTACTTAGTACCACCAAGTGCACATCGTTCTGTTGGCTAGGCATTCTTAAAACTTAAAAGATGACTGAATTTAAATAAAAAAGAGAATCAGGAAATATTAGAGCTTGATCATTTACTCCATCTTCCTCATTTTAAAAGATGTGAAATCAAGACCTGAGATTAAGTACTTTGTTCAAAATCATGAAGCCTGGTTTTCTGTCTTCTCCTGAGCAAAGCTTTCTCTAGTACCTGATGTGAGACAATGATAGTAAGTTCACTGTTAAGGTCATCCTCACACAGCCATGTGTGGACCAGCACCTCTAGATATCTCCTATTGCTCAGTTAAGTTTCACTAACTTGTTATAAATCCAATCACTTTAAATAATGACCTGATTAAACAGATTTTGAAAAAAGGACACTGTCCATATTTATATGTGGATTTTACAAATAAAACTGTCCAAGGAAATGATGATAAACAACCTCTAAGATATTTAAAAAAAACACAGTTTTTCTTAATTTATATGAGGACTAGTTTTAGTTTTTAAACCCCAAACCATTTTGAAAATCACATTCTTTAAAGGGTAACAGTGCCATATGTTCTGAATACTAATTCATGACTCTCTTAAAGGTGAATAAAACAAAAATTATCTAAAATTCTGTCTTAGAACTTAAAAGAGCAAAATAATTTTTTTTTTTGGTTGGAAGTGAATGGCATTTCAAAAGGTATGATGACAAAAAAAGAAATCATTAATCCATTTTCTTGTACTAATGCACCATAAAGATCAAGGAACTTTGGAGGGATATGTGAATGCATCATAAAGAAATTTATCATGAACAAGGATTGCAAGATAAAATGAACAGAACCCAATCCATGTATTATATAATAGAAATGACAGGAAATCTTAGGAGTTAGTGGTCCACAGAAAAGTATCTGGACATATCCAGAGAGAGTAGACTTCTAACTGTAATTATAACTTTTGAATTACACAGTATAGGACCTATCACTTATTCTACATGGCAAACATGAAAGAGTCCATTAAGTCCAATCGATCTTTTTTAATGTTTCATTCAAAATCATTAGAGAGGTTTTAAATTCTTCGTTTATTCCTTATTTCCTTGGAGAAATCACAAGGTCAATGCAGGGTAGAGAAACCATCCTCTACACTGTTTGAGCATCAGTAGGTATCTCTACCTTGATGAGAGAAGTACAGTGTCAGCAGGTATATACTCTTTGCCTTTTATTATAACTATATCTCCAACATTTACCTGAAAGAAAACTGGGAATCGGTTAATTATCTGCATTGAAAGATCGTTACAAATATACAACCCACTGTATTTAAGCATAGAATACAGTAAAAAATGGCTACTGGAAAACAAAAACCACTTATCTACACAAAATGGCATAAAATTATCTAGGAGTGAGGCCAAGGATGGGGCAGTCCTTTAAGTTATGAACACTGTATCTTTGTTTTTATCAACTACATGACTTCTCTTAATAAATTCATCCATTTTATCCACTTAATCGACATCTCAACTTCTCAGATTCTCTCTCTATGACATAAAAATAAAAAGGAGGAATTTACCCAGTGCGATTTTTACCCTATTTAAGGAAATCTCAATGCAACCAGAAAAACCAACTTTCATACATATGATCATTACTCCTCATGATGACCTTATGAAATAGGTGTTAGTTATAATTCACAATTTAGGGAGGAAGAAATGAATCTTCGCTTCTAATTTATTTGCCTAAGATCACAGTGACTGGAAGAGCTTATACTCAAACCTCTGACTGTCTGCAAAGCCTGGTTGTGCATAAGTAAATATAGTAAAATAATACTGTATCTTAAATAAAAAAAACAAAAAACCAAAATGCTTAATCTTTTCCTAGTTTTGCTACTTGGTAGCATTCTTGTGAGCATGGCCTAAATACAAAGATACAATAAGGCCAGAAACTTTTTAGAAGCGATTCAAGTGATAGGCTTGTCACAGAGCTTTTAGCAAACAATATGACTCCAACTAAGTAACGACTTGAGCCAGTTACACTGTAACCACTCCCATTATATCATGAAAGTGCCCTCTCTCTCAGTAGCCAAATAAACCTACATAAGTTTCAATACTTAATCAAGAGAAGAAAAGCCTTTTTTTTGTTGTTGTTAGAGCCTTTTTGTTCTTTCCTCTCCTTACTTTTCCCTGAACCCCAAAATAACACTTTATTGGGGGGAAGGAGAGAACTGTCCCCTCAGTGGGAATCACAATAAAAAAATTATGTCAAAGGCAGCCCACTGTGGTCTACTTTATATACCTTGAGGAGGAACGTTGGGGAAGGTTGGAGGAAGTCTTCTAATCTATGGTCTGTATGTTGGTTACGGAAGCTCTGATTCCAAAGAGGTTTTAGCTGAAATCTGGATGATTTGAAACCGACAAATTTCCAGGGACCTTGGAATCAATCAATTCTCAAGTATAAGTAAAGTATAAATATAGCCAATGAGACATTAATAAATTGTTTAAATTTACCACTTTCATTACTGGGTTGAATATTATACTGAGTCTGGTTGCTTATTATAGAGTTTCTTGCTTACTGCCAACTTTTATTTCCTATTTATATAACAGCAGTTTCAATCTTTTGTCATACTTGGTACAACTATTTTCCATATGGTGCCTACTTATTTGTGGTAATTTTTGTTGTGTATTTGTTTTAAATTTTATATGATCAAATTCCAGAGACCTTGAGATCTTGCTCTTCTCCAAATATTTATTAAAGTCTTTATTCTATTTGTAGGCTTTTCAAAAACAATGTTTTAACATTTAACTTTAAGCCAGTTAGAATTTATTTTAGCATGGGATGTGACTTAGATATAAACTGCATTATTTCCTGCAACTGTGAATCTGTGATCCCAACATCATTTATTAAATAATTCTTTTTATCAATGATTTTCTTTCTTTTATCACATATTAAATGGGCTTTATTTCAGGGCATCCTAGTCCCCTTTCTTCCATTCTATTTTTACTCTATTCATCCATGTCTATTTTTGCAACAGATCCACACAATTTTAATAACTTTTGCTCTCTATTTTACTCATCCCTGCACACAGTTCATTTTTCCAAAATATTCTATTTTTTCAACTGTTTATTTTTGAAATTAAGATGTATAATGTAGTCAACTCTTGAGGAAAAACAGTAATTTCCCTGGGATTATATCAATACTTTGGAACAATTGATATTTTTAGTTTTTCTAGGAATAGGACATATTTGCCCACTTATGTGAATCTTGAACACCTAAAGTTTTGATGTTTTCTTTACAAAGGTCATATACATATTTTAAATTTATTTGTAAGCATCTCACATGCCACGAGGAATGAGATCTCTCTTTCACTGTATTTTTCTAACTTGATATTGCCTGCAAAGAATGCTGTTAATTTTTGAATATCTATCTTGAATTCATCACTGAACCAACTTTTATTATTCTAGTTAATTAAGTATCTAATCCAAACTGTTAAGTAACATCAGCTCATTTTGGTTGGGTGACTTTTGGTAACACTTTAAATTTTATCCCTTTGCCTCTTAAAGTGGGATGCCCAGGTAAGGTGTGGCATTGATCTTCAAGACCACTGAGAATACTAAGATTATGGGTAATCATGGGCTGGTAATATTATTTGTCTGTGAAAAATTGGAAGAGTTACAGTAATCCACTCAATCTTGAAATAATGAAAAAAAAAGACATCAGGAAAATAAGATGTTCTAACAAGTTAATTTTAGAGTGAAGTTTTGGATGCTTATCTCCTGACTTTGCTTATTTTCTGAACAAGCACTCTGGGTAAGATGGTAAGAAACTGATACATCAATTTATTAGGATATGTGTTTATGCTAATTACCCAAACAAACCTACTCAATGCAACACATTTGTAATACAATTTATCATACTCGATTACATCCTACCAGTCTTCTAAAATGTTTAAATCCACAAGTCCCAAAGAAGAGCATAAAGGAAACTTTTTTTGAAACAGTTTTTTGAGCTTTCTCATTTTTTACCTTGCTTCTCAGAGAAGTGACTATCACAGAAATAAGGAAAGCACAATCAAGGTATTTTCCTCTTTGTTACTTTTATGTCAAAGACCAGAGAGAGAGAGTAGCGAGTTTCCAAACATCCAGAAAGGGAGATGTCAATCTTTATTTGGCCAGTGATTTAAAATCAACAAAAATGCAATTAACTGAGAGGGAATCCTATTCCCTGCAGGGATACAAGGTAACTATGTCCATCACAGGGTAGAATTAAGGGCATGGCCTTTAACCTGCTAGGAAATACTGGAGGGCAAGTACACTGACTGTGTCACACCTTGGAGGTTCCCAGCAATCTCAGAAAACAAAATCCCTCGGGGAGAGTGGCCTTGCCTCCAAAAGTCTCACCAAGTCACAAATATTCGCCTGTGAATGACCAGAGTTAATGGTCTTCCAGAACTAAGGGAGAACTAGTAACAACTGCTTACCTTTTGAAACTGAGGTCTGAAAAGCACCTAGATAACACTTGAAATTATGACTCAGCTCACTAACCACGTTACACGTCCTGTGAGCATATTAATTTCTTGATATTATGAAAATGATTTCCCCGCTCATTAGAAAATGATGTTTAGTTAGTAAGCTTTTTTTTTTAAAGGAATTAGCAGGGTGTAGTCATAATACATGAATTTGAAATCAAATTTGCAAATAAAATATTAGAACTCTGATTTTTATTTTTACTTGGACAGTAGATGATTAAAGCAAAAAGTTTCAACACAAAACAGTTCATGGTTAATGAAAACAATACTCAAAATTATACTATGAAAAACAAAGAGTTCCAAATATTACTTTTTCAGTCTTTCTAGTAAATTGCAGAATTATTAAATGGAAGTGACTAATTGGGAGAATCCATGTATGTTTACAACATTAATTACTAAATAGCTTTCATATTAGAATTGACATTTGTTTATATTATATACAAAAATTACATCTATTAGAGTACACATCTATGCAATTCTTCTGGAACAAAATAAAAATCAATGCATACCTTTTCCCAGTGCACAATTTCCCAAGCACCATTTCTCAAAACTGGAAAGAGAAAAGGTGACATTTTTAACATTTTTACTACTTCCCAAAAGCCTGCTTCTGAGGAAACTATCATTTTAAGTGGATAGCCTCAAAAAAATTAACTAGCAGCAATTTTTACAGGTTTAAAAATTAATTATGACTGCAAAGATGTATAAAATTATACCAAGAATTAGAAACAACCTATGCACATTTTAGATCCCACAGTGAAACACTGCTAACAGAGGGTAATCTCATTGGTGCTACAAGGGCTTTCTTCAGTACATAGAAGAATTACAGGCCACAGCTGGAGAAGAAAGCCACAAAAATGATGTGAAAAGGAAGTGACAAGCTTAAAAAACATCTCAGAAGCCATAACAGTAGCAATGTTTAAAAAAAAAAAAAAAAGGATTTACAAGCACAGGAGAAATAGATTTCAAATTGGTTAGTAGTAACAACACACAAACAGATAAGGAATCTGCACCTTTAGTTTTAGGATAATGTAAAATTGCAGAAGTTTCCATATTTGGTTTACAGATAAGAAATGAAAGAAGAGGATTACTATTAAATTATGATACAGGGGTCTTTTATTAGGGTTTCATTACTGTGCTACAGCAGCAGAGTTGCTCAGTCCACCTTTTTTCCCTTCCCTACTAGGGGTCTGTGGCATAATACTGAATATAACAAAAGACGCTAAAAGATAAAATAAACAGTAAAGACAATAACGTGAGGTAGAAAGCACAGCACTTAGTACTTAAGAAAAGGAATAAGTCAAGTTTGGTCCATAAATTATCCTGACAGTAAATTTCATCGGGGCAAAACTAGTATTTGCTCTGGAAACAGCATGGTCCCTGGCACAAAGTAGCTACTCAGTAAATATTTGCAGGATGAATAATTTATAGGTATAAAACATTAGGTTCAGTTTCTTTTGATATTAGAAAAGTTGAAGCCTGAGCCCTCCGAAGTAAATTACAATGGTAATTATCTCCAAAATGTTAAATAGCAAATCTAACATTAATGACATACCAACTGGTCTTGTGGTCAGTATTACAAATTATTTTAATGTAAATGCAATCTTTTTGTTTCGAAATTCTTGAACACAGGGCTGTCTTATTCATTTTCCCACAGAACCTCCATATCAAAACTCCTAGCACCGAATACACTCCAGTGCTTGTTAACCAAATGAATAAGTGCAACAATGACTATCCTACAGTGAGTTTTGGTGAATCAACTTCATTAAGTTAAAAAAAGGAATAATTCCAAGTTGGAGCGCTAACACTAAAATAGTTCCAATAAAATATCTCTACCTATAACTTTTACTTTAAAGTTTAGAATTTTTACAGTATCATCCAGTTATGGGTCAAGGATCGGAACCATAGGCATCCAAAAGTGACCAGTATATTCTAATACACAAAACTCTAATCCCTGCAGAGTTTACCAAATGATCCCAGGAATAAACCTGCTCTTTGATGTTGTTCCCTGAGCATGAGAGGGTCAGGGCATGAGAAAAGAGTAAAAAGCCCTGGGTTTAGATGTCGTCTGTCATTGCTTAGCAGTGTCTTCCTCAAAAGTAGCTGTTATAAAGAATAAATGAGAGCACTCTGCCCTTTAATGGCTTACCCCAGTAGCTATAATATAGTAAGTACTCAACAAAGACAGCTAGCCAAGTGCTGCTCTGATTGACCATAACCAAGATGAACTGACGCTGTAAATAATGGTGCTAAATTTTGCAGTACTTTAAATTAGAAGAATACTGTTCAATAGTAGCTACAGCCCTTCACTGCCATTTATTTTCTTCTGATTCTATCTCGTATTAGTTAACACTCCCCCCAAATTGCAACACTTAAGTTTTTAAAAACTCAGTGTCCACTATTTCTACAACCGAGATTTGGCATGAAAACGAAGACGTCAGCTTATCCGGAAAGCTCAGAAGGTCAGTCAATTCCGGCCTGTGCTTGGAGCAGAGAGGGGTGGCTGCCTCTTTCCAGGGGGCTCACTATTTTATCACCACATTCATGGTTTCCTGCTGCTTCACTCCCAGCCTGCCTCCCTTATTTAGGGCAACTGTCTGGCTCACGCTTCCCAGGTTTTCTTTTGTTAATTGAGGCATAACAAATGGTACAGATCTTAAGTGTTTTGTCCAGTGAGTTTTGAAAATTGTAAACACTTGTGACTCCACCACTCACAACAAGATATAGAATTCCAGAAAGATCCTTCATGCTCCTTTAAAATCCATCCCTCCATCCTCAGAGGCAAATATAAATTAGTCACCATAGATTAGTCTTGCATTTCATATACACTGACTCATACCGTATGTATCTGAGATTCTGTTTGTAAGTGACGAATCACTAAATTCTACACCTGAAGCTAATATTACACTGTATGTTAACTGGAATTTAAATAAAAATTTGAGGGAAAAAAATACACATATTTCTCCTTAAAGTAAAAAAAAAAAAAAGACTTGACTTTTCTCAATTAAATTAACATGGTGCTATAGTAAATACATTTCTAGACTCTGTATTTATTTTATTGATCACTTTGCATATTGTCACATCAATATACACCATCTTGATTATTCTAACTTTATGGTAAGTTTTGAAATTAGGTAAGTCCTCCACTTCATACTTTTTAAATACTGTTTTGGCTATTCTAAGTTCTTTGCATTTCCATATAAATTTTAGAGTCAAATCATTAATTTTTGTGATTTGGGATTTTGATTTGGGGTGAGTCAATTCATGGACAAGCTGTATCTCTGTATTTATTTACATCTTCATTAACTTCTCTCAGATATATGTTTAACTTTCTCTCAAAACTTTCAGATTCCCATTTACAGTGGATGGGTCTTTCATTAGATTTATTTATTGATATTTGATAACTTTTTCTTATATTTTAAATGGTATTTTTACTCCATTCCCCACTGGTTATTGGTAGTATATAGAAATGGATTAAACTTTCATACAATGACCTTGTCATCTTACAATTTTTTTAAATTCATTTATTAGTTTGGGTAGGGTTTTCTTGTTTTTGTAGCAATATACTTCCTAAGAAACTTAAATTCCTCTCATTAACGATGCTGTATTGTGATTTGGATTGGCTTTATTATGCTCATCTGCCTCACTGTTAATCTCTTTACTTTTTACACTCTTCTGCAAAAAATTTTTTTTTGAAAATCAGGAACAATTTTTTAAAGATTTTATTTTTTGAGAGACAGAGAGAGAAAACATGAGCAGGGGGAAGAGCAAAGGGAGAGAGAAGCAGACTCCCCACTGAGCAGGGAGCCTGATGTGGGGCTCGATCCCAGGACCCCGGGATCATGATCTGAGCCAAAGGCAGATGCTTAACTTACTGAGCCACCCAGGTGCCCCAGAAAATCAGGAATAATTTTTACTACTAAAAATGTCCTGTTGATTTTATGCCCCAAGCATCTCAAATTCTGCCAAATTGCATCTCCTCCACCATCACCAATACCAGCACTTCTACTTCAAGCAACCATCATGTCCTAGCTAGCCTGACGACTAGTTTCTCACATTCACTCTTGATCTCTTTCACATTAATTTCTACAGTATAGCTGTAGTGACTATATATAATGATTTTACATATATGTATCAATCCACATATCCTTACACACATACACACACATATGCGAGATTAGGTCATCCCTTGCTCAAAACTCTTCAACTGTCTCCTCCTCGCTCATAAAATAAATCCAAGCATCTAGAAGGCCCTTGATTAGCAGCTCCTGCCTACTCTCTACTATCACCTCCTGCCTCTGCCTCCTCCCCATGCCTTCTGTGTGAAAGCAACATGCTCTTTCCTGCCTCAAAATCCTCTGCATGTTTCCATGACTGGAACACTCTTTCCCTCCACCCTCACCTAGATAACTCCTACATAAACTCTGGATCTTCAGCTTTCAGGGGACATTTAGTGAAGCCCACTCCTTTCCCACTACCCTCAAGTCTAAATAAGCTTCCTGCACTTTTTCCTTCAGAGCACTTAAGGCAGTTTTACTATATATTTAGTTGAGAGACGATATGTAAGGGCCATCTTCTGCCCCAGACTGTAAGATCTGTGACAATGGGAACATTCTCTATTCTGTTCACTGCTCAGTTCCCAGTATTACAACACAGTGATGCAAAGGTGCTCAGTGAATTCTTGCTGGATGAAAAGCTGGATCTAATGGTGTGTTTGGGACCATATGAAGCCACAAGAACAGTTACATAGATTTACTCAAGATACAACCCTGCCTCCCAGTAGGTCCCATGTTAAGAACAACATACACACAATGTTTTAAAAAAATAGCTATATAGAAAAACATGTTGGCAATTCCTCAAAAAGTTAAGCACCGAGCTACCATGACCCAGAAATTCCACAACTAAGTATATATCCGAGAGAACCAAAAACATATGTTCACAGGAGAACTTGTACACAAATATTTATTGTAGCATTATTCACAATAGCCAAAAAGTAGAAACCACCCAAATTCCATCAATTAATGAATGATTAAATAAAATGAGGTACATCCAAATGATGGAATATTATTCAGTCATAAAAAGGAATGAAATGCTGATACATGCTACAACATGAATGAATCCTGAAGTTTAAGTGAAAAGAACCAGACAAAAAAGGCCACACATCATGTGATCCCATTTGTATAAAATATCCGGAGTAGACAAATTCATGGATACAGAATGTAGATTAATGGATGTCAGGGGCTCATGGAAGAGGGGTGTGGGGATTGAATGCTTACATATATGGGTCTCTTTGGGTTGATGAAAATATTCTGGAATCAGTGATGATGGGTCTATAACTTTGAATACATGAAAAAACATTGAAATGTATACTTGAAAATAATGACTTTATAGCAAGTGAATTATAACTCAATAAAAACAGCTACACAAAAAGATGCCAATGAACTACTTAAACATTTGCTTAAAAATAGACTTCTCAGTTTTGTAAGTTCCTAAAATGATTCCAGTGGGAGCAGTTAGAAATGTTTATATAACCATCGGACGCACTAACATGAA